ATATAAAATATATCTCAATAAAACTGTTTTAAAAAATGGTTCCTATAATTTCACACTTTCATGGAAAGACCAGAGTGAAAACACAAAAAGTCTTTTGGAGATGATGGGCAGAAGTTTCACTTTTTCTGTCAAAATCAAAATAGGCTCCCAGTTTTCCATTTTGTTTTCTTTCCCCTTGGAAATAGATGGACCTCCATTTTCTGCCACTGAAGGTTAAACAAAGCCCCCACCTTGGTCAGTCTGTTGTCGGGGGAGGGGGGTTTGTAGCTGTTCCTCTACAAAATAAACTATTCTTGTTCTCAGGCTTAGGGACTAAACATAGCTGTTATTTTGTTTTACCTTTGCCAGACAAAATTGGGTTGGATAGACAAACTACCCTCTTGACTAGAAGAATATCTCTCTTTTTTTTCCAGATTAGCACCCGAGGTAACATCGGTTGCCAATCTTTTTTTTTTTTCCTTCTTCTTCTTCTCCTCAAAACCCCCCAGTACATAGTTGTATATTCTAGTTGCAGGGCCTTCTAGTTCTGCTATGTGGGATGCCGCCACAGCATGGCCTGAGGAGTGGTGGTAGGTGCACACCCAGGATCCGAACCGGTGAAACCCTGGGTCACCGAAGCAGAGAGCGCAAACTTAACCACTTGGCCAGGGGGCCGACCCCAGAACATCTCTTCTTTTAACCATGGGCTATATTTCTTTACAATCAATACCACTGAGAAAACAGATAGACATCTGTTTCCCTAGATTGACTTACTTCATGTGAATCCCAGTTGGATAGAACAGTGTGATTCCCTAGGACAAAAGTGATCACCGACAGCCCCACTCCCTTGCTGATGAAACTTACAAGGGATCCTTTCACTCTGCCTTGGAAACACATGCTGCCCTGAAGCTCAGTAAAGCTGCTCCTGCTGTCTCAGCATCGCACTCCGTTCTGGCTTTTTAGCTTCCACCTGCTTTCGGAGGAACTGATTCCTTTCCCTACTGTTCTGACTGGGGTCAGGGGAGAACTTCACAAAGAGGAGACTCCTCATTCTCCTCCAATGAGGTGTCGGTGAAAAGAGAAGATGAAACTGTGGATAGATTAAATAACCCACAAATGAAGCAACTGAGACTGCAGACAAAAGGACAGAAAATTCTGAGATTCTATGAGAGTTAATAAGCAAAGATAGGTTCATGTTTAACCTCTTGATGTGGCTGAGTCAGCTGATTGAAAATGAAAATATCAGTTTCTCCCAGACCCATGGCTGGTGAAGCTTAGTTCACTAACTTTCGAACTCAGGCGACAGCTGTGAAATTCCACCCAGTTTAACCTTAATGCCCGATATCCAGTCAGGAATTAAAACAGGCATGGCCCTGACTCACACTTTTTAAATTTCAAGTTTTGGGTTCCCAGTTCAAGTGTTCAAGTTCAAGGCATTTGGGTTCAAGCTATCATTTCCCCCCACCTCGGAACATGACACAGATGTATGTTAATAACCTCTTTAGAACAGAGTTTCAGGGTCAAGTGTACTGACTCAATGCTGCCTGAAAGTATTCACTGAGATTCAGACCCAGATTAAGGCATACGTTCTCAAGTGTTCCACACGCCAGGCAGTGGATGCTAGTCAGCGTCTGGGAGACAGCTCAGCACATGATAATTGATGAAGGCATGATGTTTCCAGCAAGCTACACTTGAGCACACTCTTTTTTTTTTGCAGTAACATTGGTTTATAACATTATGTAAATTTCAGGTGTACATCATCATATATTTTGATTTTTGCGTAAATTACATCATGTTCACCACCCAAAGACTTGTTACCGTCCATCACCACACACATGAAGCACACTCTTATGCATGCCTGAAAACACTGTTCTGAAGGAATTTTCAAAAGTCCCAGAAATAAACTCCTCTTTAGACAAGAAACTCTGCCTTGGGGAAATTAGAAAATGAGTTGGATTCCTATTTTTAAGAGCTATAGAAGGGGGAGGTGACATGTCCCTGCCATGAAATTCTACAAATTTTTTAAATCCAAAAAGTAACTCAGTTTATATTTTTTTATTCAGAGAATAGCACTGAATTTGACGTTAAAAATCCATCCTGAGCCAGCTGACCAGGACCAGACCTGGTGGAATATCTCACGTTTCTCTTAACCCTGGTCAGAGACAGGCAAGAAGCATAGGGGCAAAATGCCCTCTTGGTTGGAAGGACATCTCTGCTTTTAACCGCTGGCTGTATTTCTTTAGGATACAACTGAGAAAACAGAGGAGAGGCCAGATTTTCTCACTCTCATCTCTTAATCATGTGCATAATAAATATGCACATCACACCTCACTCCCTCACTCGCCTTTGCCTCCAGTATCAGAGAAGGATGAGTCAAACACACACACAGAGTTATAAATCATCTGGAAAGGATTGCCAATTATTTCCGAGGAAATAATTATGTTTTTGGCACCCAACCATTTTCTCTAGGAAAATATCTACCTAGTTTTACACAAGTTGCCATAGGCCAAAATATTGATAGCGAGGTAACTTTAAAAAATATGAAGGACAACAGCCTTAATTTAGAACAATATTTGTCAACATGTGTTCCTTGGACCAGCTGCAACTGAAAAACCTTGAGAGTTTGGTAAAAATGCAGATTCCAGATCTCACCCCAGACTCACTGAGTGTGGATCTCTGGGGATTGCGTCTTTGCATTTTTAATAAATCCCCCCAGTGATTCTGGTGCACAATAGCATTTGCTAGCCATTGCTTTGTCCACTGGTAAGGTTTTGGCAAACATTCCTATCATGATTTCACAAAGGTTAAAACAACAAAGTAAAGATCTGTGAAAGTGAATGACTCGTATCCTTGGCATTTCTGAATCGTATCTTAACACTTGCTAATTTCTGGACTGAGAGGCAAAGAAGAGAGAAACAGAAAGTCAATGTATTTGTAATTAATAATTTCTGCGATCAGATGCATATTCTTCAACACCCTCCCCCACGAAAGTCCCAAGTTCATGGTTTTGCAGAGATTGAGAAGTCTAGATTTAGCTTACAGCTATAATTATGTCTTTTCCTTCTAGCTACAGAAGTTTATTGTGACGTGTCTCTGCTTAAATTCTATCATGCCGCAGTGAATCTTCTAGAGTCATTTAAAACAAGCCTTTGCTGATGAGATAATATTAAGTAAAAAGGCAGGTCACAAAAAAATTAAGTTCCAACTTTGTAAATAGAGATCTAGAATGGGAGACTGGAAGAAAGTACCCACGAATCATCATCAGGTTTTTGTGGTAGAGTTAGTCCCCACTCCCCTTAAGCTATCTCTAAATTTATGTTCATTTTTTAAATTTAAAAATGACAATGAAAAAGCACTTTAACATGTTGAGTTTTCAGTTAAAAAATGTCAACACTACTATAATTTTAACTTACTAGTAAATCAACTTCAAAAGCACAAATTAAGAAAAATTTATTTATTGGCCTGAAATCCTAATACAATTATTTTAATTTTTCCATTTCCCTTCTAAACTTTATTTACAGGCTTACATACATGATTTTAGCATAATTGTAATCTTAGTTTATTTACAAATTTGAGTTCTGCTTTTTCTACTTTGCATTACTTTATAAATGTGTTTGCACATTTCTGCATAGCTTCAGAATTATTTTATTTTTATTTTTTATTTTTTCCTCTCCCCAAAGCCCCCCAGTACACAATTGCATATTCTAGTCGTAGGTCCCTCGGTTGTGCTATGTTGGATGCCACCTCAGCATGGCTTGAAGAGCAGTGCCATGTTCACACCCATGATCCCAACTGACCAAACCCTGGGCTGCAGAAGCTGACCGCTCGAACTTAACCACTCGGCCATGGGGCCGGCCCCCGGAATTACTTTAAAGGCTACATTTTTTAAAGAGTTGATATACTGTACTTTATCCATGCCTGTATGTGGGAACATTTCTGTTGTATCTAGTTGCAAGTTATTATAAGCAACACATAGAATTGTCTTTGTGTACGAGGGTTTTTTTCTTTTATTTCTTTAAAAAAAATGCCCAGCAACGGTTCAAAGGGCATGAACACTTTTATGACTCCTAATATATAACATGTTTCCCTTCAAAACAATTGTACCAATCTTTACTACCATAAGCTACGTGAAAAAGAAATGAATTCCTAAAAAGGCTGGGAAATATTGACTTTAAAAAAAAAAAAGCATTTCATTTTGTTTTTGGTACCTTGCTATGTACATTACTGTTTTTTTAATTTCTTCATTATGATTGATAATTTTTAACTTATCAATATACCAGGCACCATTCTAAGGGTTTTACATGTATAAAATCATGTTTTTCTGTAAGAATAATTTATTTATTTATTTATTTATTTTTTGAGGAAGATTAGCCCTGAGCTAACAGCTGCTGCCAATCCTCCTCTTTTTGCTGAGGAAGACTGGCCCTGAGCTTACATCCATGCCCATCTTCCTCTACTTTATACGTGGGACGCCTGCCACAGCATGGCTTGCCAAGCAGTGCCATGTCCACACCCGGGATCTGAACCAGCATACCCCAGGCCGCCGAAGCGGAACGTGCGTATTTAACCACTGAGCCACTGGGCCGGCTCCTGTTAGAGTAATTTAAATAAGCCCTCAATGCAAGAAAGCTATGAAATCCTACCCTCTAGATATTAGATATTACAATAAAATTAAATTTAAAATTTCCAGAAAATAAATGATCTTATTTCATAAAGGTGGAAAGGCACAGAAAATTTAACTAGGAAAGAAGACAACATTATTCGAGATTTTTCAGCATGTTTAATTTTTGTACATCGAAAGAATAAGTTAATTCAAAGGAATAATAATTTCTTTTATTACCGAGAAAAATTTTTTTTTTTTCAGAATTAGAAAGTTCATTTAACCCAATTTTCTTTCTTTAAAAATGACCACATGAAACTTTAAAAGTCCACTGAAGGAACTGGGATGGTAAAATGCAAAATGATAGTAATGCTAAAATGTTTTTAAAATAATTAAGACAAGCATTCCGTAAATAACCTACCTGGTCTCACCAAGCACATCAAACTGATGAAGAAGTATAATTTCAGCATGTGGAAACTGGAGCGAGCGCGTCACACTCACCAGAGAACGACTTCCTTCTCAGCGCCTCAGAGTCTCCACTGAGAGCCTCGCTCTGGGAGAGCCCAGATAACTAATCCAGAGGTGTGGTGACAACAGGAAGTTCCTGAGGAACTGTGGGCAGGTCCCATCCCTCTCAAGATATTTGACTCCTCCCCTTTTCAATAAAAGATCAGGTATGTTTCTGTCTTACACAATTTTATGCATATCTTAACGTCATAATATGTATTTGCAGAGTGACGAGCTCAAATTCGTTTCATTCTCTGTGGGTGGTTTATTAGTCGTTTGGCTTGGGTGTGTTGAAATCTAGTGTGATTTGAGATATTTCCCCCTCTTGTTCTTATGAATGAAACAAATCCGGTTAGTGTTCTGTTGGCCTGTGTATACAAAACTACTTTTTATGTTAATTCGCAGACTCATTCCTCATAGGGCAGTCGTTAGATTTTATTAAGAGCATTTCAAGTCCAGTCATATACCTATATTTGCCAAAACATGCTTCAGATTGAAGGAAACTTTTTATGGTATTATACATATTTTTATTTCTTCCTATCCGGAGCTCACATTTCTCTATTACTCTGTTAGTTCTTCTTTCCCTGCTTTTTTTTTAAGGAAAAGTAAATGCAAAAGCTTTAGAGAACAATGCCTGAATCTATCCACCACACTGTTAGAAGTAACTAAACTTGTGCTCCCACAGCTACAAGGTAATTTAATTCCCTTTCTGGTGGAAGGGCTTGCAACACTTACTCAGGCTTGTGGTGGCCTGACCAGCTGAAAGATAAATTAATAAAGACACAGACAATTTAAGAATACGTTTTCACCCAAAGCATCAGGCAAAAGCCACTAGTCTTTTAGCCCTGTCTACCTGAACTATGTGTTTATGAAATAACAGCATCTCTCATCTAAGTTTATCAGTTCTCTGTGTCTGCATTCCATTTGAATAGCAGGGGATTCCTTGCAGGAAATAGATTATAACAATGCTTCCCAAGGAATCAGTACATCAGAATCACCTGAGGGGCTTTTAAAAGTACACAGATTTCTGTCACACCTCAAACCTAATGAAAGCCAACATTCCCTAGCAGTAGTCCACTGACCTGGGTTCAAATCCCACATCTTCCACTCACTAGCTGTGTGGTCTTAACCAAAACATTTGAGTTCTCTAATTCTTAGTTTTCTCAACTGTAAAATGAAGGTAGTAAAACCACACATCTCCCAGGGTTGTTATGTGAATTAAACGAGATATTACAAATAGAGTTCTTTTAGCACTGTGCCTACTACCAAGGTAAGCGCATTCACCACTCAGTAACTATTGTTATTACTTGACTGGTCACACAATCTACACCTTTCCCTGCCATCAGAAGGTGGGCTGCACAATGCTGAGAAGAGGGATCAAGTGGAGAATCTCTGGGATTTTAGGAATGGAGGCCACCTTACAACAGTGATGTTTCAGATAAATGACTTTAGTCAGCACTTTATTTTTGTCTTTCATCTCCTGCTTGGAGAAATAAGTTAAGGATACAGAAATAGGAAAACCGAATATATGACCTGCTAGCTTTTTGATGTTTCCATTTTGTAATAAGCTTTACTAATTAGAAAACAACTGCTCTCTGGAACTAATAGAGAATTGTTTCACATTCTCTTAGGAACCTGTTATGGAACGCATTGCTCCCTGTTGGATCAGTGTACTTGCCTGATAAATATTTGTTGAGCTCATATCAGTTTTAGCACCATGTCAAGTGTTTATCTAGATGGAGCCAATGTACATTTTCCTGGAAACTAGTCAATGATAGGATAAGAATAATTTCTGTTTGGCAGCCTCTTTGTGTTACTCAGAATGATTTTCCTGCTGGTAGGCACAGAAGGTTCCCTAACTTCCCAGCTGTGTGCTTGTTTCTACTTCCAGCGTTCACAAAACAGCACAAGAATCAGCGGGAGAGGGGCTGGCCATGGGGCTGAGTGGTTAAGTTCAAGTGCTCCATTTTGGATCCTGGGCATGGACCTAGCACCACTCATCAGGCCATGCTGAGGCTGCATCCCGCATAGCAGAGCCAGAAGTACCTACGACTAGAATGTATACAACTATGTACTGGAGGACTTTGGGGAAAAGAGAAAAAAAAAAGATTGGCCACAGATGTTAGCTCAGGTGCCAATCTTTAAATTAAAAAAAAAAAAAAGAATCAATGGGAGAACTCATTCCCTGTTTTTTGGGTTAGCGAGAAATATCAAGTATGAAAAAATATAAAACATTCCAAAGGATGGGGGAGGGGAGAGGAAGGGAGAACTGGAGAATGGATGTGACTACAAAGGGCTAGCATGAGGAATCTTTGAGAGGTGGGTTAGCTCTGTCTTCTGCTTGTGGTGGTGGTTACAGGAATCTAGACAGATGATAAAATTGCACAGAACTACACACACGCACACACACACACATGCACACACACAAATAGGTACATGTAAAACTGGTAAAATCTAAATAAGCTCTGTGGATTGTACCAACGTCAATTTTCTGCTTTTGATAGTACATTCTAGTTATGTAAGATGTTACAATTGGGGGAAACTGGGTGAGGGTACATGGGACACGCCTGTACTATTTTTGTAGCTTTCTGTGAACCTATAATTATTTCAAAATAAAAGTTTCTAAAAATTCCAAAAGTTGGGCCCACTCATAACCATGTGAATGTTAACATTTGTTCAAAGGTGTTCTCAGGAAAACTATTTCTTCATTTCTCATCAGTTAGTCAAGGGTGAATAAACCTCAATTTTCTTAAAACTGTGACCCTGATAAATGATCATAACTCAAGAATATCACAATTTTCCTCATTTTTAATCTACTATTACGTGCTGGCTTTTTTTTTTTTTTTTTTTTAACCTAGAAATCACTTGCTACAGACAGCAGAGTAGAAAGGGCCAGGCAAGCTTTCAAACTCGTGGACGGGAAAAACAGGTATGGAAGTTAATGGAACTGAGCGGAGGTGGTTTTATGGCTCTCCTTGGCTTCAACCAATGACCTATGTTCTCTCCCGCCCTGGTCTAGGGCTCCAAGCTGGTATATGACTCACTGTAACATCCTTTTGTCTTATCCCCATCAGTGACCCTGCAATCTCTCACTTGTGAGCCAAGTCTGGAAGATAAGACTGTTCCCTCGGTTCCTATTCTACAAGGAGATCCGGGTCACTTTCCTCAAATTCATATATTTGTTTCATTTCTTCATTCCTTCATTTATTGAACATTTCTTGAGCTTCCATTTAAAAAAATAATAAGGAAAAAATAGGAGATGTCTCCTTCCCTCAAGAAGACAGACACATTAGTGATAATACTAATATAGAGATATGCATACACATTCCAGAGGAGAACCAAGCAGGAAGCAGTAAGATGATGGGAATCCCAGAGGGAGGAGCCATTGGAAAAGCTTCACACAGGAGGTGCCTTTCGAGCTGAGTTCAAAAGACTAGGTAGGAGTCTACGCGGTGAAGAAGGTGGAGGAAAGGCATTCCAGGGAGAGGGAGCAACTTGGAGGCATGAAAGAAGCGTGGATTGAGAGTTTGGTGTGTAAGAATAGGGAAATGATAAGATAACTTGAAGACAGGCTGTGAAGAACTTTGTGTCATGCTCAGGATATTGGATTTTACCTTCAAGGCAGTGGGAACCCAGCTTTATTCTTGTTCACTTATTTATATGTTCATAAATTACTGTTACATAATAATACAAATAAACATAAATAATATATACTAGAATAGTATATTATATTAAAAATGTAATAAATATTAATATATGCAAGATAATATATTCATGTTAACCTATTAACATCATTATATGAATACTTTTTTTGGTAGTTAATTACAAAACAGGAACTGAATACTACTTTTTTTTGGCATACTGCTTTTCTGGCCTAAGAAATATGTTTCATGCAATAAAGCTACTTTGTTTTAGAAACCATGACTTTCTTACAAACAATGTATTAAACAAAATCAGCGCTCATCCAGTGCATTCAGTGACTGCTTGTTTTCACCGAGCTGCTCAAACACTTTGAGGAGAGACTGCTCTAGCCAGGGCTGTATGCACACTGCCAAGACAGAGGCAAAATGGTTTTACTTACTAAAAGGTAATTAAACAAAAAGGAATCAACAAAAATTTCGGAGGAATATTCAATATTTGACATCCTTGGTACTATGTATTTTAGATTTATTTGGGTCTTAAACTGTTGTTTTAAAATATTATTATAATCAGATTTCTGTTTTTATTTTTACTCAGCTGGCTTCCCAAGCATTGGTCATGAGAATGCTGCACTTTCATTAGACACTTATTCCCTGGAGCAGGCACACAGAATTGTCTGGGTGAGAAGCAACTCGATGGAAAAATCCACCCCTGTAATTTGGAGGGTCTATCCTCATGACTTCTGACTTGGGCTCGCATTTGGAACCATCGTGACCCATCTGAGGAATTCATGCTGTCTAACTCAGCAGGGTACTTCTTGCCTGGTGGAATCCTTCTCTTCTGGCTGCATCTCAGTTTCAGCTGCTCCCAGAGATACCTATCTCTCCTTTCGAGGTTTTCCCTAGGGCCATCCAAAGTCAATTTTAGGGTTGCCCCATATTTTAAGTCAGATCACTCCGAACAAACCTCTGGAATCTGGGGGAAATCAACCCAACCATTTTTTTTTCTTTTTTGAGGAAGATTAGCCCTGAGCTAACTGCTGCCAATCCTCCTCTTTTCGCTGAGGAAGACTGGCCCTGAGCTCACATCCATGCCCATCTTTCTCTGCTTTATATGCGGGATGCCTGCCACAGCATGGCACGCCAAGCGGTGCCATGTCCACATCCGGGATAAGAACCGGTGAAGCCCGGGCCACCAAAGCAGAACATGCACACTTAACCACTGTGCCACCGGGCCGGCCCCTCAACCCAACCATTTTTAAGTTTACTTTCTTTAATAAATAAGACGAACAATATAAACTTACCTTCTTAACAATAAAAGGCAACTAAACAACAAAAAGAGACAGATCACCCTGAAAACAGATAAAGGAGTGACAGGTAGAAGAGGAGGTGGCTATTGCAATGGTGTGAGAAATGATCAGGCCCTGAACCACAGTAGCTCCGATTGGTTTGCGGAAGGGAAGGGGCAGATCTGCGGAAAACGTAGGATGCAGAACCGGCAAGTTAAACGGCTTATTAGAAACACGAAGGAAAGAGACGGAAGAGAAACATTTAGAATTTAGCTTTGCTGGGCATTGAAGGAGGTCCTTCACATATGTAAACACATTTAATTGGCCTACAGATCTGAGAGGCAAGTTTGATGAACTCTGTTTTACAGGTTAGGAAACAAGCTTAGATAGGGCCTGGTGCTGTTTCTCCACAAGGCAGGCAGAACCAAATGCAATCAATGTGAGCAAATTTTGTAATAAAATCCAGGCAAGAGAGAACTGTGCTTCCTTTTGGCATAATAAGGCCAAGGTTATTATCAGACAGATTGAATCAAAGTCACATCATTAGGAGGACATGTTTTCCTTGAGTCCTAGAGGAGTTGGTCTCCAGAAGGGAACTAATCTTCAGGATGGTGAATTATGTTGGATTTTATGCATGTTAGGCCCAAACCAACAACATCTCATCTATGGGCTCCTACTCCATTCCATCAAATGGCCCAGGACCCCGTCCTGACAGGGGTCAGCAAAGACAAAGTTGAGAGGAAATCTCTTAACATTCGAAGAATGCTGGCAAAGGGAAAATTTGCAAGACTAAAGAATAGACTTCAGGGCTGGGTCTTCACTGTTTTGCGGAGGGTAGGCAGGTTTTGAGGAAGATGGGGGAGGGGACCTGGAAAGGCTTGAAGGAGAAGATCTTAGCAGGAGGACAAGGAAAACTGGCGCAATCATTTAGAATTCCCTACGAAAACTTAAGCAATGACTTTATGCCCTTCCAGCGGTACAAGGGTGCAAGTTATCCAAAGCAAGGGCAGAAATCTCAATGTTCTTGTTACTCCATATGGTTTTGGGATTCTCCTCTGGCCCTCCGCTGAAGAGTTCCCGGGTCCAGGACTGGCTGCGGCAGTGTTGGGGTTGGGGATATGGATAATCCCACCCCTTGCCCAGTGGACGGGCAGTGGCCCATGCCCCTACTGTGGACGACAGGACTGTGAAAGCATCAACTGGCAGACGAGTCCCAGGTGGGAGCGACTGGAAGTCTGAGTCCCCTTTTTTCCTCTGTTTCAGAGGGCAACTAGAAACACTAAGAGGACACAAAGTGGGTGTATGTGTGCGGGAGGCTGGCAGTTGCCACATTCATGAGTTACTGTTTGCTGATGCCCAGGGAGTTGGACTGAGGTCTGTAATTGTGAAACCCTCCCACTTTTCCTGGTGGATTACTGACAGTTCAGTATTCTGTATGTGCAGCTGCTATTATCGAGGCAGGAAAAGAAAAAAAAATGTGTTGTGTTCTGAGATCTGATGCCAATATTTCTTTCTTTCTTTTTTTTTTATTTTTAAAGATTTTATTTTTCCTTTTTCTCCCAAAGCCCCCCTGGTACATAGTTGCATATTTTTAGTTGTGGGTCCTTCTAGTTGTGGCATGTGGGATGCCGCCTCAGCATGGCTTGATGAGCGGTGTCCTGTTCACGCCCATGATTCGAACCAGGGGAATCCGGGGCCGCCAAAGCAGAATGCACGAACTTAACCACTCGGCCACGGGGCCGGCCCCTGATGCCAATATTTCTTAAATCTTGGTGGCCAGAACCTGGGACGAGCTGCCATTCTAAAGCAGCTTACAGTTTTCTGATATATGTTTTGAATGAAGATTGCTCTTTTGTTTTGGAGAATCCCTTTTTAGCACTTGAGTGGTCTTGGTTTGGCAAAAGCAAAGACCAATTCTTATAGTGGAATGGATAGTTGGGACATAGGTGAGCTGCTCTGCATATAATGCCAACGATAGTCTTCTTTTGTTACTGGGAATACGGCCTGAAACGGGTTAGGGGAGAGGTGGAAGGGAAATTCTCTTCTGTTGGTGGCTTGTAAAAGATGTTGAGTGGAGAGATGACCTCAAGGGGAGGAGAATCCTTTTGGGAGACAATGGGCTATGGGCTGTAGAAGCTGTACTTGTAATAGCCACTTCAATCTTCTTCTCGACTTTGTAATTCTCTTATTCCCAAACTTTCAGTAACAGCCTGGTGTTAGGCATGGCTTGGGGAACCAAGCGAGGGGCCTATGTCCACACTTGGGATTTGCTTCCACTCTCTAGGAACTGTCCCCCATCCCCCCAGGCCTGAGTAGTGGCAACCAAAGGTGGGGAGCTGGTGATTCTGGAGCTCTAGGGGGTGGCCTGCAGCAGAATTCTGGAACACTGTTTATTGAGCAAAGGATAGGGCTGTACTAGGGAGTGCCTGTGTTGAAGTTCAAGCCAGTCTGGAAATCTGGTCTTAACTGGATCACAGGTAAGGATCAAGCGTAGTCAGGGTGCATCTGTGGGGCATGGAAACCTTGAGGGTTCCCAGGACTGTCTGGCAGAGGGTGGAGGGTGGGGGAGAGGTATAAGGGGTGGGGGGTGGGGGGGGGACACTGGATTTTCTATTACTGAGTGGGACATTTTCTGTTCTTAAGCAGAAGCGTGACCTCTAGATAACAGGGAGACTAATTAGCAGCGCTCCCTGCCAGCCCAGGGGAGGAGAATAGTAAGTACTAGCAGGCCACAGGTACCTTTTCATCCTTAAGTTTCTTTGAAGACTTCTTGAGTTCTGCCCTTCCCTTCCCCTGCACTTTGCATACACGTTTATCACAGCAGACAGTTACTTGCTATTATAATTTGTAACTGTCTCCCCCATAGGCTGACCTCAAGGGCAAGGGGCTGGCCCTGGTACTCATACTCCGGTTCAAATTCTAGCTATGCCACTAGCTAGCGTTGTGACCTCAAGCAAATTACTTAATCGCTCTATGCGTCGACTTCCTTATTTATTAAAAATGAGCAAAAACTCCCCATCGCCTCTGGTTGCTGGCAGAAATGAAGGTGACAATGCGTGTAAAGTACCAGGCACAAGGTATATGCAAAATAAAGGGCGCCTACCACGGCAAACATCTGTTAAGTAACCTGACCTACCTTTACTTTGCGCACTCAACACATTTACTGAGCATCCACGCTATTTCAGACCACCGGAGCGCTCCCTCCCAGATGGAGAAGCCTCACGTGGGGCCTGTGGGCCTTGTCCCGCAAGCCGTCTCACGACTGGCTGCGCCAATAAGAAAACCCCGCCCACAACCCCTTCGATGTCGTCAGCGATTGGACCGGCACTGTCCCTCAGGCATTTTGGTTGCTAGGCTCGGGTGGTGGGGTCCTAGGTTGCGCGTGCGCAGATGGAGAACGAAGATGCTTTCCGGTCGGGCGGGAGGAGGTGACGTCGGGAGCGGTGGCGGGCGGGGGCCTCCTGTAGCCCTGGGGACGTTGTATCTCTGGGCCCTCTGGCCGCGTCACAAGTCGGCGACTAAGCCTTGGCGGTGGTGGCCGAGGCGGCGAAGGCGGCAGCGGCGGCGACAGCTCTGGGGTTTGCGTCTCGGGGTGTGTCGGCCGCCGCTGCTGCTTGGGCCTGGTATGTACAAATGGCTGGTTAGGATTCTCGGCACCATTTTCCGTCTCTGTGACCGGCCGGTGCCCCCTGCCCGGGCCCTCCTGAAGAGGCGGCGCTCGAACAGGTGAGAAGAGAGGGGGCCCAGCGCCGGCCTAGTCGTTCCCTTCCCCCACCCGGGTTCGGCGAGGAGGGGCGCTGGTCCAGCCGGCCCGGCCCTGCTCAGCCGAAACAGTTGGGGGGCCGAGGCCGGAGAGCTGCGGGTCGCGGGTGTCCTGGTGACGTAGTCGCTCCCTCCGCTCTGTGCGGATGCGACTCCTGATGATGGAACGAGCTCGTTGTCGTTGGAGTGGCCGGTGATGGCTAGGATCTTTGATGTTCCTGTCAGAGTCCGGGCTGGTTGCTGTCAGCAACTGGGGCTTTATCGTATATTGCTGCTCTTGGGTTGAAAATTACAAATTGAAGGAATACTGTCTTTGTTGTGGCTCACTGTTCACGAAGCACACTCCCAAGTGTCATCTGTGGGTAATAACTGCAGTTAAGAGAAGTCAGATTCATAGCTTGCCCAAAGTCGTTTTGACTGCTGGTACTGTTCTCTCAGCACCAAGAGACAGCAGCTGTCTTGTTCTGAAACAGCTGTTAAGCTGCGTGTGTGTGTTTTCTTAATGGGAGGGAGGGAGAGTGGTTCTGTGCTTTAGGATTAGCTTATGAGAAAAAAAATTAGGTACCTCATTCCTTTAAAAAGATCACTAGTCCGTACTCTAAAATTCAGTTAGCATTTTGGGGAAACTGAAAGCTGTTCTGACTTAGCATTTACCCCTTGGTTTGTCCCATTTCACGGTGTCTACCTCCTTGCCTAAGATTTAATCTAGGGAATAAAATACCATACCAATTCTGTACAGCCCCCCCCCCCCCAACTTTTAGTGATCAAGTGTTAATTTCATTTCTTATTAAGCCTCGAGATCATTGAAGGGTGGTTTCTTGGAGCTTGAGAGAATAAGATAATTAATACATGAGTCTGAGAACACAGGTCATTGATAAAATTGGCTGTTGGCTAAATTCCATAATGTGTTCCAGAGAGGGCAAGGTTTCAACTTATTCTTCCTTTCTACCTTTCTGTAGGGTTGATACAAGGATCATTTTGGAACATGTTGTAAAGTGCCTAAAAGGATGCTTAATATATAGAAGGGTAGAGTTTGTTTATTCTGCCCTGGGGGTCTCGTGCAGAGGCTGGTGCGTGACAGGCACTTGGTACAGATTTATTGATTAAGGGAATATTAATTCCCTCTCCCCTGTCCTTTCTATTTGCTATGAATCCCTGCTAGTCAGGGAAACAGTGGTTTGGAGATAAAAAGCCTGTTCTTTATCATACAGCCTTAATCTAAAACAACTCTTCTCAGTGTGAGCCATTTTTCAGTCAAAATGAAGCCAGGAGGTCTTGTTGGGATGACTAAAGTTATGAAATGAATGGTTCCCCTGGGAGTTAGTCTGTTCACTTTTTTGTAAATATGATCAGTCATAATCATTTTTAGAAGATGATTTGGAGTATACCATGAAACTTTAGCATTCTTAAGGTATAGGTCCAAAAACTGCTGAATTCCCAAATTCTTAATTACCATTGTAATATAGTGTCCATGATAAAAATACAGTTAAATTGAACACCTTTTCTGGCTGAGAACTCTCTCTTTTTTTTTTTGAGGAAGATTAGCCCTGAGCTAACTACTGCGAATCGTCCTCTTTTTGCTGAGGAAGACTGGCCCTGAGCTAACATCCGTGCCCATCTTCCTTTGCTTTATACATGGGACGGCTACCACAGCATGACTTTTGCCAAGCGGTTCCCTGTCCGCACCCGGGATCCAAACCTGCGAACCCCGGGCTGCTGAAGCGGAATGTGCGCACTTAACCGCTGTGCCACAGGGCTGGCCCCTGAGAACTATCTTTTAAGGCCTTTTATATTGTCTACTTCTACCTGAAGTAGAAAATGACTTTATTATGGGCGAGGCGGGGGGGGGGGGGGAGGGGGTGTCATCTTTGAAAAGGAAATTATTTGTTGTTTTAAAATCATTTCTGGAGAGACAAAGGAAATAACTAGTCCTGGGCTCTTACCTATGTTCGTTTACTAGCTAAGTGATTTCTGACCAATTTCAAGTTTGTGCTTTAGCCAAATCACAGATTGTTATATGATAGGGAGTTTTGGTTCTCTCTCAAATAGTTGAAATCATTGTGTGAAGTCCTCAAATGCTAAAGGCCTACTACAGAGTAGCGTTCTCTTTTAAAACACCAGTGGGATCTCATTTGATGACCAAGGGGCTGGAGGGGGCTGTGTTGTCTGAATAGTAAGTTTATTTATAGAGTGGATATGTGTGTATATAAAAATATATATGTGCATATATATATTTCTCTCTTTTCTCTTTTATCAGCACTCTGTTGTCTACAGTGGACACTGATGAAATACCAGCCAAAAGACCAAGATTAGGTATTGAATATTAATTTTAAAAATTAGTTTTTTTAATAGGAAAAATATACGCATGGAACAAAATTCAAAAGGTAACAAGTATATGCAGTGAAAAGGAAGTCTGTTTCTTGTCCCTTTGCTACTCAGTTATCTTTTCTAGAGGTAACTACTGTTACCGGGGACTAAAGTATCTTTCCAGATAAATAAGCCTATATGTTGAATGTGCATTTTAAAATTCTAAATCTTCCTATAAAGAAAAGGTGCTTTTTAAATTTGAGGAGAAAACATTGTGAAAACTGCTTCAAACTGAGTTATCTCGTTCAGATAGCTGAGTGAACCAATCTAATGTGTTGCCCCAAATTGTTTACTTCCCTATATCTGAAGGGCTAGACGTCAGTTGGTAGAAGAGAATAAAGCTAGATTAGAGTAAAAGGAAAAAGCACAATGGAATACCATAATAATAATTTCCTCTTTCTCAAAAATGAATGAATTTGGATCTACGTCCAGATGTGGTAGTTAAGAGTGGACATGTCTATGTTAAGGTTTCACTCAAATCCACTGAGTACTTATTGAGCATGTCTTACTGCTAACAAAGTGTTAGGTTCTACAGGAAGTACAAAAATGAGTAAGTCAGGGTCTCTGTTTTTAAGAACCTTACAGTTGTAGGGGTATGTGATTATATAGTGGGGGGATATGACAGGTACATAAATAATACTAATGTCAGTGAGGATATTATAAGTGAAATAAGAAAAGTAGTAACAAAATACTGTCCAATTTTCAGCTGGTTAAGAGTCTCAGTAAATATTTGATGAAGTGGCTAGTATGTCATGAGATGAGTCTTGAAGGATGGATAGGAAGGAAAAGCATTCTAGGCAGAGGGAACAGTATGGGAAAGTTGTGCAATTCAGGAAATAGTGACTAGAACTCAGGGAAAAAGTTGGCAATAGAGAGATAGGTCAGATTGTAGAGGACATTGAATGCGAGGAATTTATACAAAATTCATTAGGACAGTATTTCCCAAAGCACAGGATAGATACCAATTCAGGAAATGATTTTAGGAGATTCAAAGTTCATAGCATTAAGTAACATTTGAATTATGTTATATGCTAAAAAAGTTGTATCCTTTTCAGTTATTTTTAATTTTCTGATTATTTTAAGTAGAAAAATCTTAATTTAATGCTAGTTATGTCTTCAATACTTGTCTAATATGTGCTAATCTCCCCTTTTTTAACAGGTTCAACTAGAACTTAGCATTGTTGTGTTTTCATTTCTTTATAAGACAAATGATGTCGCTTTATGTTAACAGTAGCCATATAAAATGACCTTTACAAATACATTTGTTTAGCAAAAAAAGTGAGTCAATTTTAAATAAAAATATAAATAAATAAGTATGTGTGGTAGAAAAAATTTTGACGTTAGTATTGCAGAAGGTTCCTGGTAATCATCTATTTCATGGACTTTTATATCTCTTCCATGATTTTCATGAAATATGTGTTATGATTTTCTGAATGGAAACTATAGAAGGGAACCTAAGCCAAGGGGGAAGCAGAGATAACACTTATTGGCAGAGTTTGTCAAGGTCTATAGCAGCACTGTTGATAGAGCTCTCTCCCGTGAGCGCTGCTGAACACTTGAAATGCGGCTAGTGCAACGGAGGAGCTGAATTTAATTTCAGTTAAATTTGAACTTACATAACTGCATGTGGCTACCGGCTATACTGCATCAGACAGTACAAGTCTATTGGTTGCTTTTGAGAGAAAAAGAGGAAGGGTAAAAGAAAAAAAGGAGCACCTTAGAATTGCGGACTCATGATCTTACAGATAAAAGGAGTTTTAAGAGATTTCATAGTCTAGTCTCAGGAAAATAAGGTGGTCTTATCCCCATTTTACAAATAAGGCAAGCCTTCCTTCCTTTTTTTTTTTAAGTCAGTGAGATTTTTGACAATCTTGGGGCATCCTCAGATTTTGACAAAATTTGTTAGGAAAATAAATATTATAATACTTTTTAGCTTATTAAGAGTACCTCTTGCCCTCTAGGGTCTGGATGACAGTCTGTGGATTCAGCACCAATTCCTAAAGTTCTTTTTCCTCCCACTTCAAGCACAGCAGAATGGAAGTGATGTCCCTCTACATTATTAGAGGGATAACCTGGAATTCTCTTTAATTCCTAAAATGAGAAACAAGTCATTTGGAAACTTTGGTACTTTTAAGTATTCTCTAGTTACAAATTATTTCAAATTGGATTCTGCTTTACCCAGCTATCACATCCTTCATGGTGTTTAAGTTATTCCCCTGTCATTCTGGAAAGTATTTTATATCTTATATGTTCTGGACTGCTTGTTGCTTAACAGCCACCATTTCAATTTCAGGCTATTTTTCTCTAAAGTGGAATGTGGCTAGGATGATGGTCTCTTTCCCTCAAACCTAGTGCTCTAAAATACCCTTAATTAGGAAATAGAAAGGAAATGGTAGAAAGCAAATCAGCAGTGTAGGAAGTGTGAGAATGGGGTAGTGTGATAAAAGGAGGAAGTGAGGAAAGCACTAAAATCTCCCCTTCCCCTTATTTATTTACTTACTTATTTTGTAATCTTTATTTTTGGTGGCAGGGAGGGGTGAGACTGAGATCTTCCAGCACATCTTCAGTAGCAGAGGGATAGCCTTGTTTCATCGTAGATATTTAAGAGCTGCATATCTTATCCTTCACTAATTTCTACCCTGGGCATAGCCAAGATATAATAGGCACTTCGTGAGTAGTTGTTTAGGACACCTGTATTGTTACCTGCCCAGGAAGGAAGGACAAACCAGTGAGTAAATGATAGTGCTTCCTGTAGGATTCTGTCATACCTAGTGACTAGTCGTTTCAGGTTAAGTTTTGCCCCTCTCTCTCTGGTAAAGAATTTTATATTCTGGAGAACGCATTTCTTAAAAGTTGTCATTTTAGGACTTTTTTTTGTGAATCACTCTGTGATTTGCTAAAGTGATGGTTTCATGTTTTTGTAGTATCCCAGATATTTTATTTACAAAAAAATCACAATGCTGGAATTCCAGTTATTCAGGTAGGAGAAAAATTATTTTTATAATTTTATCTCAACGGTTGAAAACAGAATTTCTAGTAAACACTGAAAGAGGCCTTTTTGTAATATAATCTTTTTTTTTTGCCAGAAGTTTATCACTCTATATTTATAGGTATATGTAATCTATATTACCCTGTCTAGATTGTTTTATTCACCAAGTGAAAACCAGTCTCTACAATGCTGCCAGCTTATTTGGATTCCCATTCCAGCTGAACACAAAGCCCATGGTAACTGCTGCTTGTAATGGAACACGGAATGTGGCCCCTTCAGAAGAGGTCAGTGGGGATAGGGCTCCAGTGGGGCTACTGATCTTTGTACTTAATCATTAAGGTTAAATTTTAGAAATACTCTCTTTTTAGGAATTAATGTGTAGAATAACTTCTTTCCAGCAATGTTCGTCTTTATTAGCCTTGATATAAAAGGCAAAAAATCAAAGGTTAAGAAATTACACGTTTAAAAAATATTTATGAAGAGCCTAATTATTAATACTTCTGCTTTTTAAATTTAAGTATGCATAAAGAACCTGGAATTGTTATTTTTTACATCATTTTGTGAGTCTTTACAAATTAAACATTTGGTTTTATTGATATCTCCTCTGTGAGCTAGCTAAATAATCACCAACAGAGTGATTTTTTTTTTCATATTAGAAACTTATTTAGATTTTAAAATTTAGATACTACAGATGTGATTCTCTTTGATTTTAAGGTATTTTCAAACTCATCATCTTGTGAACTGACAGGTTCTGGATCCTGGAACAACATGCTGAAACTGGGTGAGGTGGTCAAAATATTTCTGCTTCCCCCTACCTCCTTCTGCCAGTTTTTTCTGAGTTTTGAGAATATGAAAGGGAAACACTGATTTAGATAGGGATGAGAGCACAGACATATTCTCTCTACCATTCTAAAAAGCAAATAGCTTTCCTTTAGAATTGTCTTTGAATTCACTGTTGTGTTTTCTATTTGTATTATCAGTGTCCTTAATGTGACTTTGATCAAAGTTCATGCATTAAAAAAAAAACCCACAATACCCCACATTTCTTGAGAGCTTTCTCTGTGCTAGGCACTGTGCTAAGTTATCAGGAATAACAAAATAATAAAACCTTTAACAACAAAATAATGAAACAAATAACAAAATAATAAAACTTTTAATAACAAAACAAAATAATAAAACCTTTTATAGCAAAATGACAAAATAAATAGCAAAATAATAAAACCCTGCCTTTGAAGGACATCATGTGATTGGGGAACAGTCTTAGGTTCCCACTTCTCCCAGGTTTATGGATTAGGATCCTCCACATCATCCTTAGACCCTGAAACTGAATTGTAACTACTGTATATCCTGTACAAAATGCTGTGGTGGGGAAAAATCAGAAGAAGCCAAGTCCTGAAAGTGGCTGTGGTCTCTGCCACACAGGCAGGCTGGTAAAGTTTGAGAGGAAGGTGAAAAAGAGCTTTGAGAGAGCTTGTGCGTTCAGAAGTCAAAAGTGGAAGAAGCTCAGGAAATGATAAAAACCTTAGATTAGTGCTCCTCAAACTTTTTTTAGTAAAGTACCTCTGGTGGCAGAGAAGAACAAAGGAGAATAAGTGCGAACCCCCGAGTCTGAGCATATCCCAAAGGACATGGGACAAAGATGATACTTCTTTGAAGTCTTTCATTTCATTTGAAAAGTTAATATAAATTAGATTTTATAATCTATTCGGAGTGTTTGAATATATAAATGTTTAAAATTATTTACCATTAAAATCAATGTGTGGAAGGGATGGTAGATTTATCTCGTGCCTGAGGTAGTGGCACTATATTTCTGTGTAGCCTAGTCAGAGAAGCACAGGGATTCCTAGGGCAGGTTTTATATATAAAGATGTCCACAGTTTCTAATCTGAAACCCTTGGAGATGTGTTTGGGAATTCCAAATTTTTCCTATTTTGGGTATGTTGTGTTTATTAAATATTAGTTTAAAACCCCATGGGATTGAACATTGGTTCAAGTCAGGTTTTGCAAACAAATGAATTCAGGTCAGTATAGGTTTTGCTGCTACTGACTTATGAAAAAACTTTTAGTTTTAGATCTGTTTGCATTTTGGAGTCCTCAGGGACTCCAAGCCCCTGTAGTAGCTCCAGCAGAAAATGTGGCTGATGAAAATTTTGTTACCCTTTTTTGAAGTATAGTAACCATCTCACAAGTGTTGGAAGCTTCTGGTGAAATGTAGTAATATATGGCAGGTTTTCATTTAAAAATACTTCTGTTTTCTTAGGAAGAAGAAACAATTTACTTAATTTGATTAGATTATGGAGTTTGTCATCATTGGGTTCTTCATGCTTCTTGTTGGTCCCAGCAAGCAAAACTAGAAAAGCTTGCCTATGAGTTGTTACTACTTACCTGAGATCAGAGACAAACTAAGCAGTATTGCTTTTCCTTTTTTTTTTTTCCCCTGGGGAAGATTTGCCCTGAGCTAACATGCATTGCCAATCTTCCTCTTTTTGCTTGAGGAAGATTTGCCATGAGCTAACATCTGTGCCAGTCTTCCTCTATTTTGTTTGTGGCTCACCACCACAGCATGGCTGCCGACAAGTGGTGTAGGTATGCCTGTGAACTGATCCTGGGCCACCAAAGCGGAGCACGCTGAACTTAACCACTAGGCCATGGGGCCAGCCCCACTATTGCTTTTCCCTTAACTTTTATAAAGTTTGTGCTGGATCTCTGCTGTATAGTAATAGAATTTGAAAAAATAAGATACTTAGTGCTAGAAAGTAGATTGCTCACAGATTTTCTTTTCTAATGCAGACTGTTCACAGGTTTTTTGTTGTTGTTTTTACAATTACGAATGCATTTTTAAATAGGTAATAAATCTCCTAATGGAATAAGTGACTATCCAAAGATCAGAGTGACAGTAACCCGAGATCAGCCTCGCAGAGTCCTGCCTTCCTTTGGGTAAGTGTTAAATTCTGCCCTTCTGGAAGTGGAGACTTTGCACTTATTAGGTGCTCACTCTTGCTAGGCATTCTCCCTTTGATTCTGTTATGTAATCTTGTTAAGTAAATACTCTAAGGTTAGTAATTTGCCGAATATCATACAACTAGTGAGACACTCGAACTCAAGTGTGTTACTTTTTCTACCACATTATATGCTTATAGCGTCTGATTTTGCAAACCTTTTAAAAAAGAAATGTCCCTCAGTTCTACACTTTCTTTTGAAGTATAATACCCATACAGAAAAGTGCAGAAATCATGTGTATGGCCTGATGAATTTTCATACACTGAACCGTTCTTATTATTTTCTTAGTAATTTTCTTCTCCTTTCTGTGTGGTTACTTCCTAGAATTTCTACTGCTTGGATAGTAGACTTTCTGGATTGATCTAATTTTCCTATATATTATCTTCTTTTGTGGTTGTCCTTGCCTTTTTTTTTTTTTAAGATTTTTTTTGTTTTTTGCCTTTTTCTCTCCAAAGCCCCCCGGGACATAGTTGTATATTCTTCGTTGTGGGCCCTTCTAGTTGTGGCATGTGGGATGCTGCCTCAGCGTGGTTTGATGAGCAGTGCCATGTCCGCGCCCAGGATTCGAACCAACGAAACACCGGGCCGCCTGCGGCGGAGTGTGCGAACTTAACCGTTTGGCCACGGGGCCAGCCCCTGTCCTTGCCTTTTTTTAAAAAAAAAATCTTTCCCTGATTTTTTTTTCTTTTGGTTTCATAGTTTTTAAGTCGTAAGCATCCTTCTTCCTACTCCCCATGGTTTTTTCCAAGCATCTTATTCTTATTATAAGGATGCAATATCTTATCTCTAAAGTTAATTTTTTTTAAATTTCTTCTTCTTCTTGCTCTATCTGCTTCCTCTGAATTTCTCCTCCCCCTTTGGATTATTTTGGTCTTTCATATAGTCTTTATTCAAATACCTGATAATCTTTGTCTATCCACACATATTTAAGAGTGAGGCACAAACTAGGGCTCTCTGGAGTTGGATAAACGGCTAATAGTAGCGCTAGGAGAGAAAGTATAAAATGAGTCTGGAACATCTTATGCCAGAAATTAAAGGAGTGCTCAGAAACTGGGGGCATGTCAACATGACCCAGGAGGAAACGTGAGGGGGCTTTCACTGGCCCAACTGGGGACAATGTAAGCATCAAAATGAAGAAAGAGGAATACAGATGCTAGTAAATGTATAGCATGGGAGGGGAAAGATCTTCTCTGTAGTAAAATGTCAACTAATAAGTGTAGAAGGAATGATAGAAAATTACCATTTTGTAACTATCATGGTAATAACTGATATGTACAGGAATCGTCAGTTGAGCTGAAACTAGTAAGTAAAAGTTTAATGAGGTATGGGATATTTACATAAACTAAAAATATCTCTCACAAATTAATCATTAATTACAAAGGGAAAAGTAGTAACTTCAGAGTGGAGAAACTTGCCTGACACCATATTAACCAAAGGATCAAAGTTAAAGTCACCCACATGGGGCAAACTCACATGACCTCCAGATACATTGCACTGAGAAGGACATCATCACTTAATGTAGTATTCCTGCAGAAATCAATGATCTGAATCTAATTATGAGACAACTGGGTAAGCTGAAATTAAGGTTCATTCTACAAAACAACAGGCCTGTACTCTTCATTATACTGATGAAGAAAGACTGAAAAACCGAGATTAAAGGAGACCAAAGATAGACGACAGCTAAATGCAGTGTGAGCTCCTGCTTTGAATCCTAGATGGGAAAAAAATTTGCTATGAAATATATTTTTCATACCTCTGGAGAAATTTGAATATGGGCTCCATGTTACATATTGTATCGCTGCTGAAGTTCCTGAATTTGATGATTGTATTGTGGTTGTGTAAGTGATATCGTTGTTCTTGGGAGATAGTACTTGAATATTTAGAGGTGAACTTATTCCCTAAGCATTTAATGCTATAAAATGTCCCTATAAGGAAGGCTTTAGCTGCATCTCACACATTTTGAAATGTTGGTTTTAATTTTCATTCAATTTAAAATATTTTCTAATTTTTGTTTTACTTCCTCTTTAACCTGTGATTATTTTGAAGTGTAGAATTACGTTGTTTAACTTCCCAATATTTGGGACTTTCCAGATATTGTTTTGTTATTTATTTCTAGTTTAATTCCATTGTGGTCAGAGAATATATTTAGTATGATTTCAGTTCTTTTAAATTTGTTAACATTTGTTTTATAGCCTAAAATATGGCCTATCTGGGTGATGTTCAATGTGCACTTGAAAAGAATATGTATTCTGCTGTTGTTGGGTGGAGTGTTCTATAAATGTCAGGTCAAGGTTGCTGATAATGTTTTACAGGTCTTACCGATTTTCTGTCTACTTTTTTATTGATGAGCAAGGAGTGTTGATGTTTCCTACTGTAATTGTGGATTTGTCTATTTCTCTGTCTGGTTATGTCAGTTTTTGCTTCATGTATTTTGAAACTCTGTAGGTGAATATATGTGACCCAGATTCACCAGTTGCTGTCACTTTGCCCTTTTGCTTTATCATTTTCTGTCATATACATATTTTTTTCTGAACCATTTGAGAGTAAGTCTTAGACTCATGCCCCTTTAATCGTAAGTATTTGAATGTGTTTATTTCGTAAGAATGAGGACCTTCACTTCCATAATCACAGATTACCAAAATGAGAAAATTTAACATTGGTGTAATACTATTATATAATCTTATTTAAATTTCTTCATTATAGAAATGATTTTTTCTGGTCCACGATTCAGTGCAGGATCGTGTATTACATTTAATTTTCATGTCTCTTGGATCTCCTTTAATCTGGAACAACTCCTCAGCCTTTCTTTGACTTTAATAGCATGGATATTTTTAAGAAGTACAAAGCATTTCTTTCGTAGAATGTCCCTTAATTTTGTCTGATTTTTACTCATGATTTATTTTGATTATGCAGTTATTTTTTTGTAAAAACACTAGTACATCTGTGGTGGTGTATCGTTTTTAAAACATCACATCAAGAGAAGTATGATGTCATTTTGTCCCATTATTGATAATGGCAGGAGAGGCAGGCTCTGTCACCAGCAACAATGACTGGGTGGACACTTCATGGCTTCTATTTGTTTAGCACTTATTAATTTAGCATTTATCAATTTAGCATTCAGCAGATATTTATTGAGTGTCTTTTGGCTTAGATCATGTATTATGATACAGTGGTGAAAAGATGTAATCTCTGTCTTCATGGAATTTAAAGTTTAGTGTGGGATGTGGACATTAAACAATCACACCAGTAATTAATTCCACTGGTGCCAGGTGACTAAAGGAGCAGCACAGTACCAGAGGAGGGTGTGTGTAATAGGGGAGCTAAATCCAGAGTTGAGGTTGGAAGATTGGGCATGAGGAAGAGGGCAGAGGCTTTCATGTGGGAGCCCTGGTGACTGGAAATAGCAGAATTTCATAGCAGAATTCTGGGGTGCCCTCTGCTCTAGAGATAGATCTAACTTTTGTGAATGATAGTTGTCTGATTTGCCAGGAGCAAGCTTAACCTGGGACAGCTTAATCACAGGATGGTCTGGAGCTTAAATTCCAGCAATTTAAGCAGTTTGGTGATAACTTTTTTTTCCCCTGTCTTTCTGTCTCTCAGTTTTACCTTGAACTCAGAAGGCTATAATAGAAGACCCGGTGGCCGACGCCATAGCAAAAGCAATCCAGAGAGTTCCTTAACGTGGAAACCTCAAGAGCAGGTTGTAACAGAGATGATCTCTGAAGAGGGTGGCAAGGGTCTGAGGCGTCCCCATTGTACAGTGGAGGAGGTAAGCCCTTATAGCCTGATCTCTTTTAAAAACTATTTCATGAATTTGCAGGGGAATAAATAATATATGTACTATGGTACAAAATTCCAAAGGTGTGAAAGGGTGTATGGTGACTGTAAATTTCCCAGTTTCCCCTCGGTATCTGGACCCACCACCCTGTTTGGCTCTTAGCAAGTAACCACTGATACTTGATGTATCCCTCTAGAGAGATTCTCTACGTAGGTAATTTCGTCAATTTTCAGATGTAGTTATTTTCACCATAGGAAAGAGAAAGGAACCATGTTAGGAAAAGATCAGATTATAAATTCTTTCTTTTTGGGTGCCTGAATTGTTCTAACTTGTTTCTTTTATAAGCTGTAAAAACTGTGACTGGGTAAGGGAAGTAAGTGGTGTCCATCTACTTTTTCCTTCCCTTTTTAGGGCACTTAGCATTATATCTTCATCAACAGTCTTTTCTTCAGTTCCCTCTTGAAGTCTTCACTTATTCCAGGAGAATTTAGAATTATTCCCGTATCTGGCATTCCTCAGGATTATCACCTGTTGCAATTTGCTAGATGGTTTTCTGAGCCACTTAATTTAGTTCAAAGAAGTATTTGTTTGGGTCCCAGGTGATGTGCTAGTTGTCAGCAATTCAAAATTGAATGAAATATAGTCCCTGTCCTCTAGGAGCTTATATATAAATAGTAGTAATCGACAGAAGTGGGCAGAGAGAGGAATGGACTGCAGCCCAGGAGGGATTTTTTTCTTTTTAATTGCGGTAACATTGGTTTATAACATTGTATAAATTTCAGGTGTATATCGTTATATTTTGATTTCTGTGTAGATTACATCATGTTCACCACTCAAAGACTAATTACAATCCATCACCACCCACATATGCCTAATCACCCCTTTCACCATCCTCCTTTCCCCTTCCCCTCTGGTCCAATCTCTGTTTCTGTGTGTTTGCTTGTTGTTTTTATCTTCTACTTATGAGTGAGATCATGTGGTATTTGACTTTCTCCCTGTGACTTGTTTCACTTAGCATAATAGCCTCAAGTTCCATCCATGTTGTCACAAATGCCCGGATTTCATCGTTTCTTATGGCTGAGTAGTATTCCATTGTGTATACATACCATATCTTCTTTATCCATTTGTCCCTTGATGGGCACCTAGGTTGTTTCCAAGTCTTAGCTGTTGTGAATAATGCTGCAATGAACATAGGGCTGCATGTGTCTTTACGCGTTCGTGTTTTCATGTTCTTTGGATAAATACCCAGCAGTGGAATAGCTGTATCATATGGTAGATATATTCTTAATTTTTTGAGGAATCTCCGTTCGGTTTTCCATTGTGGCTGCACTCTCACCAGCAGTGTACAAGGGTTCCCTTCTCTCCACATCCTCTCCAACACTTATTGTTTCCTGTCTTGTTAATTGTACCCATTCTCATGGTAGTGAGGAGATATCTCATTGTAGTTTTGATTTGCATTTCCCTGATAGTTAATGATGTTGAACATATTTTCATGTGCCTGTTGGCCATTTGTATGTCTTCTTTGGAAAAATATCTGTTCATATCTTTTGCCCATTTTTTAAATTGAGTTGTTAGGGTTTTTATTGTTGAGATGTATGAGTTCTTTGTATATTTTGGATATTAACCTCTTTATCAGATACATGGTCTGCAAATATCTTCTCCCACTTGTTAGGTTGTCTTTTTGTTTTGTTGATGGTTTCCTTTGTGCAAAAGCTTCTTGGTTTGATGTAGTCCTATTTGTTTATTTTTTCTGTTGTTTCCCTTGCCCAGTCAGACATGGTACTTGAAAATATGCTGCTAAGACTGATGTTGAAGAGCGTACTGCCTATGTTTTCTTCTAGAAGTTTAATGGTTCCAGGTCTTACATTCATGTCTTTAATCCATTTTGCATTAATTTTTGTGTGGTGAAAGATAATGGTCTGCTTTCATTCTTTTGCATGTGGCTGTCCAGTTTTCCCACCACCATTTATTGAAAAGACTTCCCTTTCTCCATTATATGTTCTTGGCTTCCTTGTCAAAAATTAGCTGTCCATAGATATGTGGATTTATTTTTGGGCTCTTGATTCTCTTCCATTGATCTGTGTATCTGTTTTTGTGCCAGTACCATGCTGTTTTGCTTGCTATAGCTTTGTGTAGTATATTTCGAAATCAGGGAATGTGATACCTCCAGCTTTGTTCTTTTTTCTCAGGGTTCCTTTGGGTATTTGGGGTCTTTTGTTGTTCCATATAAGTTTTAGAATTCTTTGTTCTATTTCTGTGAAAAATGTAGTTGGAACTTTGATAGGGATTGCATTGAATCTGTGGATTGCTTTAGGAAGTATGGGTATTTTAACTATGTTAATTCTTCCAATCCAAGAGCATGGAATATCTTTCCATTTCTTTGTGTGTTTTTCAATTTCTTTCAAGAATGTCTTATAGTTTTCAGTGTACAGATCTTTTATCTCTTTGGCTAAGTTTATTCCTAGGTATTTTATTCTTTTTGTTGCAATTGTAAATGGGGTTGTATTCTTAATTTCTCTTTCTGCTACTTGGTTGTTGGTGTATAGAAATGCAACTGATTTTTGTTTGTTTTTTGAGGAAGATTAGCCCTAGCTAACTGCTGCCAATCCTCCTCTTTTTGCCGAGGAAGGCTGGCCCTGAGCTAACATCGTGCCCATCTTCCTCTACTTTATATGTGGGATGCCTACCACAGCATGGTGTGCCAAGCGGTGCCATGTTTGCACCCGGGATCTGAACTGGCGAACCCCAGGCTGCCGAAGTGGAACGTGTGCACTTAACTGTTGCGCCACCGGGCCGGCCCCAAAATGCAACTGATTTTTGTATGTTGATTTTGCATCCTGCAACTTGACCATATTCATTCATTCTTTCTAAAAGTTTCTTAGTGGATTCTTTTTTTTTTTTAAGATTTTTTATTTTTCGTTTTTCTCCCCAAAGCCCCCCGGTACATAGTTGTGTATCTTTAGTTGTGGGTCCTTCTAGCTGTGAGACATGGGATGCCGCCTCAGCATGACTTGATCAGTGGTGCCATGTCCATGCCCAGGATTTGAACTGGCGAAACCCTGGGCCACCGAAGGAGAGAGTGCAAACTTAACCACTCGGCCACAGGGCCAGCCCCTCTTAGTGAATTCTTTAGGGTTTTCTATATATAAAATCATGTCATCTGCAAATGGTTACAGTTTCACTTCTTCCTTTCCAATTTGGATCCCTTTTATTTCTATTTCTTGCCTGATTGGTCTGGCTAAGACTTCCAATACTATGTTAAATAAGAGTGGTGACAGTGGGCATCCTTGTCTGGTTCCTGTTCTCAGAGGGATAGCTTTCAGTTTTTCTTCATTGAGAATGATATTAGCTGTGGGTTTGTCATATATGGGCTTTGTTGTGTTGAGATACTTTCCTTCTATACCCATTTTATACAGAGTTTTTATCATAAATGGATGCTGTATCTTGTCCAGTGCTTTCTCTGCATCTATTGAGATGATCATGTGATTTTTATTCTTCATTTTGTTAATGTGGTGTGTCACATTGCTTGATTTGCAGATGTTGAACCATCCTTGCATCCCTGGAATAAATCTCACTTGATCATGTCTGATCTTTTTAATGTATCCTTGTATTTGATTTGCTAGTAATTTCAGTTGAGGATTTTTGCATCAATGTTCATCAGTGATATTGGCCTGTAATTTTTTTTGTTGTTGTTGTTGTCCTTGTCTTGTTTTGGTATCAGGGTAATGTTTGCTCCATAGAATGAGTTAGGAAGCTTCCCCTTCTCTTCAATTTTTTGGAAGAGTTTGAGAAGGGTAGGTATTAAATCTGTGAATGTTTGGTAGACTTTACCAGGGAAGCTGTTTGGTCCTGGACTTTTGTTTTTTGGGAGATTTTTGATTACTGTTTCCATCTCCTTATTTGTGATTGGTCTATTCAAATTCTCTATTTCTTCTTGATTCAGTTTTTGGAAGGTTGTATGATTCTAAGAATTTATCCATTTCTTCTAGATTATCCAATTTGTTGGCAGACAGCTTTTTGTAGTATTCTTTTATAATCTTTTGTATTTCTGAGATGTCTGTTGTAATTTCTCCTCTTTCATTTCTGATTTTATTTATTGTGCCCGCTCTCTTTTTTTCTTGGTGAGTCTAGCTAAAGATGTGTCAATTTTGTTTATCTTTTCAGAGAACCAGATCTTGGTTTCATTGATTTTTTTCTTTTTTTTTTTTTTAGTCTCTATTTCATTTATTTCTGCTCTGATTTTTATTATTTCCTTCCTTCTACTGACTTTGCGCTTTGTTCTTCTTTCTCCATTTCCTTTAGGCGCACTGTTAGATTGTTTATTTGAGATTTTTGTTGTTTGTTGAGGTAGGTCCATATTGTTGTAATCTTCCCTCTTAGAACTGCTTTTTCTGCATCCCATAGTTTTTGGTATGTTGTATTTTCATTTTCATTTTCATTTGTCTCTAGGTGTTTTTTAAATTTCTACTTTGATTTCTTCATTGACCCAGTCGTTGTTCAATAGCATTTTGTTTAATCTCCACATACTTGTGGCTTTTCTGATTTTCATCCTGTAGTTGATTTCTATTTTCATATCTTTGCGGTTAGAAAAGATGCTTGGTATTATTTCAGTCTTCTTAAGTTTATTGAGACTTGTTTTGTGGCCTATTATGTGATCAATCCTAGAGAATGTTCCATGTGCATTTGAAAAGAATATGTATTCTGCAGTTTTGGGATGGAATGTGCTATATATATCTACTAAGTCCATCTGGTCTAATGTGTCATTTAAGGCCAATGTTCCTTATTGATCTTCTGTTTGGATGATCTATCCATTGGTGTAAGTGGAGTGTTAAAGTCCCCTACTATTATTGTGTTACTATTTCTCATTTTATGTCTGTTAATAATTACTTTATGTATTTAGGTGCTCCTATGTTGGGTGCATAGATATTTACGAGTGTTATGTCCTCTTGCTGGGTTGTTCCCTTTGTCATTATGTAGTGCCCTTCTTTGTCTCTCTCTCCCTTTTTTTTTTTTAAGATTGGCACCTGTGCTAACATCTGTTGCCAATCTTCTTTTTTCTTTCTCCCCAAAGCCCCCTGGTACATAGTTGTATATCCTAGTTGTGAGTGCCTCTGGTTGTGCTATGTGGGATGCCATGTCAGCATGGCCTGATGAGTGGTGCCATGTCCGCGCCCAGGATGCAAACCAGTCAAACCCTGGGCCGCCAAAGTGGAGCGGGTAAACTTAACCACTTGGCCACAGGGCCAGCACCCCTTCTTTGTCTCTTGTTACAGTTTTTGTTTAAAACTCTATTTTGTCTGATATAAACTCTATATTTTGTCTGCTACCCTAGCTTGCTTTTCTTTGCCATTTGCAGGCAGTATCTTCTTCTATTCCTTTACTTTGAGTTTATGAGTGTCTTTAGGTCTGAAGTGTGTCTCTTGTATGCAGCATATATGTGGGTCTTGTTTTTTAATCCAATCGGCCACCCTATGCTTTTTGATTGGAACATTTAGTCCATTGACATTTAAAATAGTTATTGATGAATATATACTTATTGCCGTTTTGTTACTTTTTTTCTGTATGTTTTAGTAGTTCTTCTGTCTTTTCTTCTTCTCTTGCTCTCTTCCCTTGTGGTTTGATGGTTTTCTTTAGTATTATGTTTGGGTTCTTTTCTCTTAATTTTTTGTGTATTTATTATATGTTTCTGGTTTGCGATTACCATGAGGTTCACATATAATAATCTACATATATAGCAATCTATATTGAGTTTATGGTCTCTTTAGTTTGAACTCTTTCTAAAAGCTCTATTCTTTTTTCTCCCATCCTCCCACATTTTATGTTTTTGATATCATAGCTAACCTCTTATTTCGTGTATGTGTATCCATTACCCTCTTATCATGGAAATAGGTAATTTTAGTGCTTTTGTCTTTTTTTTTAAAGACTTTATTTATTTATTTTAAGACTTAATTTTTTTCTTTTTTCCCCCAAGTCCCCCTAGTACATAGTTGTATATTCTTAGTTGTGGGTCCTTCTAGTTGTGGCATGTGGGACGCCACCTAAGCATGACCTGACTAGCGGTGCCATGTCTGTGCCCAGGATTTGAACTGGTGAAACCCTGGGCTGCCGAAGCGGAGCACGCAAACTTAACCACTCGGCCATGGGGTTGGCCCCAGTACTTTTGTCTTTTGACGCTGACGTTCATATTCTTTTCATAGGTGGTTTGTCTGCTACCTTTCCTGTATTTTTTCCTTTACCAGTGATTTTATTGCCTTTTTTGTGTGTGATAGTTTTCTTTTTTAAAAAATTATTTATTTTTTTTGTGAGGAAGATTGGCCCTGAGCTACCATCTGTTGCCAGTCTTCCTTTTTTGCTTGATTAAGATTGTCCCTGAGCTAACATCTGTGCCACTCTTCCTCCATTTTGTATGTATGACGCAGCCACAGCTTGGCTTCATGAGCAGTGCATAGGTCTGTGCCTGGGATTCAAACCCGCACACCTTGGTCCACCACAGTGGAGCACATGAACTTAACCTCCACGCCACCAGGCCAGCCCCATGGTTGATAACTTTCTTATTCCTATTTGTGGTCTTTTCTTTCCCATTTAAATAAATTCCTTTAGCATTTCTTGTAAAACTGGTTTCTTGGTGATAAACCCCTTTAATTTTTGCTTGTCTAGGAAACTTTTTATCTCTCCTTCCATTCTGAATGATAACCTTGCCAAATAGAGTATTCTTGGCTATAGGTTTTATCCTTTCAGCACTTTAAACCTATCATGCCACTCCCTTCCAGCCTGTAAGGTTTCTGCTGAGAAATCAGCTGATAGCCTTATGGGGTTTCCTTTTTATGTCACTTGTTGCCTTTCTCTTGCAGCTTTTAGGATTCTTTCTTTATCTTTAATTTTTGACATTTTTATTATAAGGTGTCTTGGTGTGGGCCTCTTTGGGTATATCTTGTTTGGTGCTCTCTGTGCTTCCTGTGCCAGGATGTCTGTTTCCTTCCTTAGGTTAGGAAAATTTTCAGCTATTATTTCTTCAAATAGATTCTCTGTGCCTTTGTCTCTCTCTTCTCCTTCTCAGACACCTATAATATGAATGTTAGTGCACTTGATATTGTCCCAGAGTTCCCTTAGACACTTCTTGTTCTTTTTTAATTTTTTTTCTTTTATCTGTTCAGCTTGTGTGAGTTCCTCTAGTCTTTCATCCAGCTTGTTGATCCATTCTTCTGTAGATTCTACTCTACTATTGAGTCCCTCTAGTGAATTTTTCATTTCCAGTATTGTATTCTTCATTTCTGATTGGTTCTTTTTTATATTTTCCAATTTTTTGTTGAAGTTCTCACTAAGTTCATCCAAGATCAGTGAGCATCCTTATGACTTTTTGTTTGAACTCTTTGTCAGGTAGGTTGCTTATTTCTGTTTCATTTAGTTCTTTTTTTCCTGCTCCTCATGCATTCCTTGCCCCACAGAGGTGGACCCACTTGCCTGCCTGCAGAGGTTCCAGGCACCCAGCCTGTGCAGGCTCACAAGTTGCCCAAGGGCTTGCTGTTGGATGGAGCCAGTCTCTAGGGCAGGCTGCCTGCCCTGGCTGAACTGGATTAAATCAGTGCTTGAGTGGGCAGGGCAGACCCTGGGCTCACAGGCCAGGGGAAGAACTCTAGTGGTGTCTGCCAGCATCTGTGTCAGCATGCCTGTACTACATCACAATAATGGCTGCCACCAATGTCTCAGTCCTTGGAGAGGTCTCACCTCTCACTGAGATGCGCTCAGAGCATATCTTTTCACCAAAGGACTGTGCACCTTTCTTTCTCGTGATTTCAGGTTGCTTTCTGAAACAGGTGAATTTGTGTGTGGGCCCTTTAAAAGCTGCCTTTTTTCCGTTCCTGTCCGATAGTTTTTCTAGAGATGTTCCCTGTTGTAGTTAGTAGCTAGCAAAGCCAGATATTATGATACTTGTCTCAGTTGTGCTGAATCTGAAGGCTGCTTGTAGTAGTAACACTTCCCCGCTCAGGTCCCCGACTCCCCCAGGGAAGGCTGTGTACCTTAGGATTTCTCCTGGCCGGCTGTGAAGCTCTGCAGCTTGCAAAGGTGGCTTTTTTCTCTCCAGAAGGGGATTTCTGCCTCTTTCGCCTCACTCAGGACTGTCCCTTGTTGTGGGGGTTCTTTTTATCCAGTTTTCAGTTCTCTCTCAGGGGTAATTATTCCAAGAATAGTTGTAACTTGGTTGTGTTTGTGGGAGGAGGTGAGTCCATCTCCGGGTCCGCCTACACTGCCATCTTGACCCCAGGAGGGATTTTAAGGAGAGGTATGAAAGTATGCTTCAATACCTCTTAGAATTCAGAAATGGGACTGAGCAAATATGTAGGGGGTATACACAGGATATATTCTATAAATATTAGAAGGTAATATTAGCAAGGACATAGATATTCATTGGTTAATGTGATATAAAGTTATAGGGAAGAGCCTGAATCCCTGATTTCAGTCTTACATAAATACGTGCCACTGACCAGGATACCCCATGTGTTTAGGGGGAAGATGATGACTTCAGTTTTGGACACTGTTTAAAGTGCCTGTGAAACACACAAGAAGACCTGTCCCATAGAACTATGGATATAGGTGCTGAGAGTTTTGAGAAGAAGGCAGGGTTAGAGACACATTTCTGAATTTTCTGCATGTTGATGTTATTTAAATCCAGGGAGCTGAAGGGATTATTCAGGGAGGAGATGTAGTGGAGAAGAGTTAATGGGCAGAACCGTAGGCATTTAAGGGCAGGCAAAAGAAGAAATAATCTGCAGTGGAGACTGAGAAGATAAGAAGAAATCAAGAGAATATATTCTTGTCCAGGTAGGCAAGGCAAAGTCAATGGGGTGAGATGCTGAAGAAAGAGGTCAAATAACATAAGAGGTGAAAAAGCCTCTATTGGCTCTGGCCATAGAAGGTCATTGGTGACTTTGGTGAGACCAGTTCTGTTTTGGAAGCTAATGTTATGAATATGCAAGTGGATTATTTCTGCTGAGTTTTTTTGCGGTTCACTCAGTTCTGTTCTCAAAAAGTTAGATGCCATCAAGGACTAGCAGATAACATAAATGAATGAGGTGGACTAGAGTGAATGGCCCGTCTAAAGGGACTAGCCCTACAAAGCTCTAGATTGTTGATTCAGTTTTTCAAAAGAGACCAGATTTTTGGATTTTTCTTCTCAATTTATAAAGTTGGTAATTAATTCAAAGATTTTAAAAAACACTGTGCTGGGAAATACAGCCCATATATGGGCTGCATTTGACCTCTTAGTCTTTGTTTATGATTTAATTACAGATTTATGTGCTAGTAGTTATCTAATATGCCTTCTTTTATTTAGGGTGTTCAAAAAGAGGAAAGAGAGAAGTACCGGAGGTTATTGGAGCGACTTAAAGAAGGTGGTCATGGAAACACTGTTCCTCCTGTAACTTCAGCTCATCATAGGTAAAGATGAGCTAATAAGATAAATGCTTTGCCAGACATCTTTTTCCTCATTTTGGCGAGGGGAATGGTGGGAAGGACTTTCTTGCAAAAACAGGTTAATGTTGAGAGAACTAGCCCTGTGACTTATCTGAACATTGTATCTAGTAATAGATTATATATATAACAAAAATAGAATTTTCTGTTAGCTTTAGAATCCATTGTCCAATTGAACTCTTACTTGAAACTCTGATATAGAAAATTGGAATCACTGGTTGAATTTGGGTTCCCAGGGGAAGAGAGTTTTTTCAACCTCCCCAACACAGACGTTTCCTACAATCTGTGTGTCTGTCTCTGCCAGCCGCTTGTTCCCCCTCTTTTCCTCTGCTGCCCACCTCTTCCTCTCTCCCTTCCTCCCTCTCTCTCTCCACCTGCACCCTCTCTGCCCACCCACCAATGCACATAGTCTCTGAGGCATCTTAGTGCGTGCATTTTAGCACCATTGGAAACTGTCCACTTTAGAGACAAGATTGAAGTCATCCCAGGTCATAAGAAGTTTTCCTTATAAGACTGCTTGTTAATTAAATACTCTAATGATTTCAGCAATTAGATGAGAGTGGCAGAGCGAGCTGATGTCTGGCCTTATATTCGGATAAAAAATATGTGAGCTCAGGATTGAGGTACACTTGATAATTCTAAGAAGTGGTGTGAGAATACACAGAGGGCACCCAGAATTTATGTCACAGCAAGTTGATGGTAAAAAAGTCACAAGACCATCTAGCTTGTTGAATGTGGAAATAACCGAGGATTATTTGTCTGGGAATTTTAACTTTGGTTGTAAACTTTTTTTTTTTAATTCTCTTGGTTTGTTGGTCAGAATGTTAATGTGTTCTCCATTTTGACTAGGTACTGATGGAAGCAGCAGTATAGTTTCGTCACGTCAGTAAAATCTGCAAACCACTTTGCTTTTTTTGGGGGTGAGGAAGATTAGCTCTGAGCTAACATCTGTTGCCAATCTTCAATCTTCCTCTTTTTTTTTTTTTCTTTTTGCTTGAGGAAGATTAGCTGTGAGTTAACATCATGCCAGTCTTCCTCCATTTTATGTGTGGTTCACCACCACAGCATGGCTGACGAGTGGTGTATGTCCGTGCCCGGGATCTGAACCTGTGAACCCAGGCCACCAAAGTGGAGCTCACCAAACTCAACCACTATGCCACGGGGCCGGCCCCACAAACCTGCTTTTAATGTGTTGTTTTAGGAACTATTTCAGTATGTCATTTAAAATTTCTCATTTTTTAACCTGAGTTTTGTCACACTGAGGTTTTTCAGTCAAGGTGGTGCTGGGGATTAAAAACATCCAGGTTTACGAATAGAGAGACTGGCAGTTGGGTGACCTGGCTGAAAGAGTAGAATCTGGATTAGATTCCTTTTATCCCAATCCCAGGTGGTGATATGTTGCATCCTCTCTCCTGTAATTTGATGTTTCAGGCAATCAATAACACCTGCTTGGAGAAGCTTGCCAGGCAGAGATAGTGAATACTTATGGTGGGTTTTCCTTTTATATCTGATTTTCACTTTTTGTGTTTCTAAGTTCTCAAAGAAGTCACACGGACACATTAAAGACCAAAGGCTGGGGGGAAGAGCAAAGTCACGGAGTCAAAACAGCTCAGTTTGTTCCAAAACCATGTGAGTTCCTAGATTCAGCCCTATCTTAATATATTGAACTCAGATCATGTGCATGTGAAATTGAAAAATGACATACTAGTGAAAGATGGAGTACCAAACTGTAAAACATCAGACCCCTGGGCACTGTCTGGGATTTATCTAGTACCGGTAGTTTAGTGAAAAAGCTGTTTCAAGATGAAGCTGACTGATAAGTGACCTCTTGATCATTATTCCAACCTTCAATACAGTAGCACATATTTTGTGCACCCTAAATTAATTTCTTTATATCCCTCATACTAACTTCCTTGTATTTCTCTGCTTGTTGTTCACTAAGTGGCACTAAATGATAGCTTACCAAATGAGCAGATATCAGTCATTTTACACTAAAGATTATATTTAAAGAAGAAAGAAATTTATGCATTTTTAAGCAACTTATTTTGTGAGAAGGCTAGTGTCTTTGGAATTCATTTTAGCATTTCAATGTAAGTGAATGTCCTGATACTTTAGAAACTGTGTAAGTTAAAATTCTAGCTATGTGATTGATTAATAAAGGAAACAATTTTTTCTTTGCCGTCCTCACAGATAGAGTTGTTGAAACAAGGGGACCTCTGTGTTCTGTGAGAAGTGAAAAGAGGTACATGGTTCAGCTCATTCTGACATATTAATTTCTTACTTTATAAGCTATATTTATGAGTAACTATGTCTGAGGAATTGTGAACTCTCCTCAGTGCTGGTAGCTGACCAGCATGTTGGGTACACAAGGAGCTCTTGTGTCAGATGCTCACCCTAGCTTGGGAGGGTGCCCTTCTCTGTCCTGGGCATTGGGGGTGGGAGATGCAGGTGCCACGTAGATAAGTGTGGGTCTGGTGGGCATCTCTAGTGATCGGCATCTCTAGTATATGAATGGTGAAGGTACTTCTAAGTGCCTTAGGATTTTGGATGATAGTTCATTTATAGCAGAGTTTGGTAAACTTTGGGCCAAATCTGGTCCACCTGCCTGTTTTTGTAAGAAAGGTTTTGTTGGAACACAGTTTGTTCATTCATTTATATACTGTTTATGGCTGCTTTTAAACTACAATGGAAGTTGAGAAGATGTGACAAAACCCATAAGACCTGCAAAACCTAAAATATTTACTATCTGATCTTGTTCAGAAAAATTTTGCTGACCCTTGGTTTAGAGGACTGTATAAACTCAAGGCAACTTTTGTTTGCAAATTATTAAATCTTACTTCTAAAATTAGTCCGACATGTCCCTGGTTAAAATCATCTAGTCTGTAATCTCTCAATTTTTTTCCTTAGATGTTCAAAGGGGAAAATTTCTGATATAGAGAAGACAGTTGGAATCAGACTCGAAAATGAAGGTGTAAGTAGAAACCCTAGTTAAGTTTTATATCTTTTTACTCTTCCACCTGACTTACATTAAAATTTTGGCGCCCATGAAAAATAAGAAAGATGGTATATGTTACTTTGATTTCTAATTCTGTTGTTTTCTTTGAAAAAGCAGCAGGCATTGAAGATAGACAACTTTGGCTTTCTTCTGAGTTGCTGGATTTTTATCTCTGTGTGGTAGCCACCTTTGTAAGAGGGACCAACTTGCCTCCATCCCAACCCTTATGTGTGTTGCCTGGCTTTTCTTGGAGAATTTTTTTTTTTTGAGGAAGATTAGCCCTGAGCTGACATCTGCTGCCAATCCTCCTCTTTTTGCTGAGGAAGACTGGCCCTGAGCTAACATCCATGCTCATCTTCCTCCACTTTATATGTGGGACACCTACCACGGCATGGCTTTTGCCAAGCGGTGCCATGTCTGCACCTGGGATCCGAACTGGCGAACCCCGGGCTGCCGAAGCAGAACGTGTGCACTTAACCGCTACGCCACCGGGCTGGCCCCGGAGAATTTTTTAAAACTAGATGCCTCTAGGAAAGATATAAGTTCAGGACCTTCTTTTCAGAGTCAAGATTTTGGGTTTACTTGAAAATATTACGAATCTTATGCTTAATTGGATTTTATGTTTTCTGTGTAAGTATTGGAATAAGAAGTGTTCCAGTGATCTCCATAGCAATACCAACATTTTAAATAATAGTGGCAAACACTCCGTATTCCAAAGAAATGTATTCCTAAATTAAAGACAAACTTGCAGTTTCAGATTATTTCACATGTTAGATACATGGAAATACCAAAAAGAGAACTGCTTTGTGTTGGGTATCACTTTGATCAAGTTTCTCTTCTCCCATTAGATCTCTTCATAAGAATTAGTTTTGAGGCTAACTCACAGTCTTAAGTCATAAATCTTTGAACATTCCTTTCTCTAATGTTCCCCGTTTCCAGTGATTCAGAGCGAGCCTTTTGTGTTTAATTATCTATCACCTGTGGAACAAAAACTGAAAGAAGAGGGGAACCTAAGCCTGAGAGAGGGTGGGAGGTGGAGGAGGGAGGCGTGTTTGTTACCTGGCTGATGGCTACATCCTGCTTCTGTCCTTGGTGAACCTGAAGGCTTTGCTGTCTGGGACTGTGGGGAAGGGCCAGCAGCTGCTGGTTTTCTAGGACCGGTATACCTGGCAGTTAGCTAGAGTCAGGAGTACTGGCTAGGTGTGTTGAGAGTGTGGTTCTAGTCCAAAGGTCTATTTCTAAATAAATTTCCTAATTTTAAAATAGTTTGCCTAGCAGATGACTTAAGTTCAGTACTCAGGGTTACATAGGGTCATGATAAGGAAAGGATCTTACTAGAGTTTCTGGGATGCTGGCAGAATTCTGTTTGTTTTGACCTGAATGGTGGTTACATAGTTGTTAATTTTACAAAAATCAATTAAATGGTACATTAATGTTTTGTGCATTTTTCTATAATACATAATTACTTTTTAAAAATGATGAGATAGAACAAATTTACTTAGTATAAGGATAGCAGTGGTTTATTTTGAGTGGTAGGATTATGGATTGTATTTTTTACTTTTTTAAAACTTTTCAAAATGTCTTTTAACTATATTATTTTTAATTGGGAAAAAAGAACTGAAAATACTTTTCTTGCTGTCTCCAGGGAAAAGGATGAATGTTCTGTTTCATGGTTTGTAGTTGAGGTGTCCTGAGCCCTAGGTTTTGAACCTTTTTGATCCCTCTTGCAGGGATAGGCAGGTATGCTAAATCTACCTCACTCATTTGGGGATTTGCTAATTCTCTTTTCTTTTAAGATAATGGCGCTGTTGTGTATTTCCTGTGTTATGTATGTTTATATGTGCAAGTATGAAACATGTCAATAGAACATAAAACTTTTTTGATCAGAGGAGAGGACACCAGCTGGAACCTGACCTGTCTGAAGAAGTGTCAGCCCGGCTCCGCCTAGGCAGTGGAAGCAATGGCTTACTCAGGAGGAAGATGTCAATACTTGAGACTAAAGAGAAAAATTGCTCAGGCAGAGACAGGGATAAGAGGACGGATGATCTTCTTGAACTTACAGAGGTATTGTTTCCTGTGTTGATCAGAATAAAAGGCATGTTTTAAATAACCTCAGTTATTCAAGACTTGAGTGCATGTTTTGTTGTGAGCAGTTTCTCCAGGTAGGGCTGAATATATGAAAGAAATCAGGCCAAGGGCTGTTCACTCACTGGCTATGTTAATCATTAGTGATCTCTGAAGGTGGCCTAAGGGATCAGATTAATGCTCAGCAAATGTGGGTAGACATAAGTGCCATGAATCTTGGAATATAATGAGTTTTTTGTAGATTCTTTTTCTAACTTTAAAATATTTTGGGTTACATAGTATGGGTTTTGCATCAGGAATGAGTTCATTGCAGTTTTTTTTAAAGTGATTATGGTTTACTAAAATGTCCCTTTTGTTGATTATTGCATCTGAAAATAGTAAAAACTTATAGAAAACAATAAAATGAAGATTGTTAAGAATTCTTATTTTAAATGTGAGCCCACATCTTGTCTCTTTCTCCATTGTTGTCTTAGTAGGTGGTAGTCAGCCCTACTCAGTGAATCTCTCTTGAGCACTTACTATATATTGGGCATGCAGATAGCGAGATCCATAAAACTGCAAAATTGTGTGCCGTTGGGGGAAAGCATTATTTAAAATATTTGGAGGAAAATAATTTCTATTGGGTTTATAGATTCTGTCTTGTAGCTTAAACATGCATTTATCTGCATAATTCTTTAGAATAACGAAGCCATCTATTCAGTAAGGACTCAGTTGCCAGACTGCTGCCTAGTCTTCCAGTTTCTGCCTGTTTGCTTATTCTCTTCACGTCAAAAATTGATAGTGTGATCTCTTAGGTGTTCTAATTTTATTACTTTGATGTTTTTAAAGAAAAGTTTAGGAGGTAAATAAGCAAAGTATGAAAATACTTTTATAGGATTGTGAAAGGAGCAAAGGCTAGGGAGTTAGATACTCCGGGGTTCAAATCTTGGCTCTGCCTTTTAATAATTATATGGTTTGGGGCATGTAACTTAAATTCCTGAGCTCTACCTCTTCTATAAAATGGTGATAATACTTTCCCCCCCATGCAGATGTGCTCTGAGCATCTGGGACTGTGTTTGGCACATAGCGCTAAATAAGTGGTAGTGGGATAATTGAGACTCTACTTTAAATGTAAATATTGCCAATTATTGTTTCCAGAGCTAATTATTGAACTCACATTTTTTATAACCATTGATAAGACTGCTTTGTAGTCCTAAGTTTAAATCTTTTCATACCTCGATTTAGTAGGTCTTTGATAGTAGATTTTTCTCAAGGGTCGGGTATCACAGCGATGAAAAGCATTTTTCAGTCTCAGACTTTCAGTATCTGATGGTGGTTCTGTATTTAAGTAGCAACCTCTGGGTTTTTTAATTCAGGACATGGAAAAGGAAATCAGTAATGCCCTAGGCCATGGCCCTCAGGATGAGATTCTAAGTAGCGCTTTCAAACTCCGAATCACTCGAGGAGATATCCAGACCTTGAAGAACTATCACTGGCTCAATGACGAAGTAAGCCGTCTTCTGTGCCCCTTTGACTGTCGTTATGCTTAACCGTCTACCATCCGTAATCAGAGTGATTTCTACCCAGTTATACAGGCTTGGTAAAGCAGCTTTTAGTTTTGTCTAAATCGAAAACATCTTAAACCTTTAAAAGAACGTTAATTCTGATTGTTTGCTGCCCTTAATTAGGAATGTTACTCTCTTCTGCATCCTTTCTTCGTTTCATCCTCCACTTCGTTTACTAGTCTTCAGTGAGATTTTTTTTTTTTAAAGATTTTATTTTTTTCCTTTTTCTCCCCAAAGCCCCCTGGTACATAGTTGTATATTCTTCATTGTGGGTCCTTCTAGTTGTGGCATGTGGGACACCGCCTCAGCATGGTTTGATGAGCAGTGCCATGTCCACACCCAGGATTCGAACTGAGGAAACCCTGGGCCGCTTGCAGCGGAGCGCGCGAACTTAACCACTTAACAGCCACAGGGCCAGCCCCTTCAGTGAGATTTTTATAAACCCTGGGTGCAACTGATGAATGGAAGGAAGCAGCAAGTGATACTTTATTTTAGATGAATTCTTAGAGGGGCCATTTCATTTTTTCAGTAATGAAGGGCTATGTTGATTACCACATGTACACTATATGTCTTTTTCTTTATTTCATTTGAGTGATAACTGCAAGAATTTGCCCCATTGTCACCTTGTATCCTTACATATTTAGCTAAAGCTAGCTCTTGGTTCTTGCCAATTTTCCAGTTGGTCCTTTACCCAATTCCTCAGTTGCTGATTTTCTCCCTTGTCTGCCTTCCTCCTCCCTGGCTAGTGACACATAAACACATTCTTGTAAAACAAATGTTTTGTTTCATATTATAAATGTCATATCTTTATTATAGAAAATTTAGAAAATACAGGAGAAGTGAACAATATTATTGTTCAAAAGTGCCAACCCTCAAAAATAAATGAAATATTAATGTTTTGGTATATTTCCTTCCAGTTAATATTTTTAAATTGAAGTATAATTTATATATAGTAAAATTCACTTCCAGTTAGTATGTCTACATATATATTTTTTTAATCTGTTTATTTCTTTTGGTGTAATTCAGATACAGAGACTGATTTTTTTATTTTATTTATTTTTTTGGTGAGGAAGATTGGCCTTGAGCTAACATCTGTTGCCAATCTTCCTCTTTTTGTTTGAGGAAGAGTGGCCCTGAGCTAACATCTGTGCCAGTCTTCCTCTATTTTGTATGTGGGATGCCACCACAGGATGGCTTGGTGAGTGGTGTGTAGGTCCATGCCTAGGATCTGAACTTGTGAACCCCGGGCCACTGAAGTGGAGCGCACAAACTTAACCACTGCACCCCTGGGTGGGCCCCTGATTTTTTTGTTTTTTGTTTTTTTTGGTGAGGAGGACTGGCCCTGAGCTAAGATCTGTTATCAGTCTTCCTCTTTTTGTTTGAGGAAGAGTGGCCCTGAGCTAACATCTATGCCAGTCTTCTTCTATTTTGTATGTGGGATGCCCCCACAGCATGGCTTGATGAACAGTGTGTAGGTCTGCCCCCAGGATCCAAACCCAGGAACCTGGGCTGCTGAAGCAGAGTGTGCAAACTTAACCACTATGCCCCTGGGCTGGCCCCTTTCTGCATATTTTTTGTGTGATACAGTTACATACACCTTTTCATTATTGCAGACTTTCTATTTGAGTTCTTTCTCTTGGCTCTCTTTTTCATATGCCTCAAAAGTACAACTTCATTCTTTCTTAATCCCTCCCATTTTACAGTGATCATTTTTTATTTTCCATTTTCTGCCATAGACAGTCCTTTTTTCCCCTTCCTTAGTACCTTCCCTTCTCTAATTCAGGTAGGTAGAAATTTAATTTTGATAATGTACTTGCCATGTTCTGATGTTTACTCTCTTGGTATTACAGGTCATTAATTTTTACATGAATCTTCTGGTGGAAAGAAATAAAAAACAAGGGTATCCAGCACTTCATGCATTCAGTACTTTCTTCTATCCCAAATTAAAGTCTGGGGGTTACCAAGCAGTGAAAAGATGGACCAAAGGGGTCAATCTCTTTGAACAGGAACTTATTCTGGTGCCTATTCATCGGAAGGTACATTGGAGCCTGGTGGTAAGTTGAGAGGGTTAATTGTGGGAGTTTAGATAATGACCATTTTCTTAAACAATGAAGGCTACACTTTCTGTCCAGTGAAAGTCTCGTAGTATATGTTAAAGGCGTACTCTGCAGAGTCCCTTCTGAGTTCTTGAGTTACACAACTTAGGAAGCTAGAGGACAGTCCCTGTAACTGAGGAGCTTTCATTTTTAACAGGAAAGGGTTTTAGTACACATGGGTTATTTATTTTATTAGTTTTGTTTACAAGATGGTACAGGTTTATTGTATAAAAGTAAAAGTATAAAGAAAAAAAGCAAAGAAAAATCTCATCACTCTGAGAGAACCACTTATGTTTTGGGGACTAAGTTCCTAGGCTTTTCTCTAGGAATAGAAGTATATAATTTTATAGAAATGAAGCTCATAGCATCTGTGATGCTTTATAAAAAATGTATCTTAGAAATCCATTCATGTTGGTACATGTATTGAGTTTTTTTAAAGATGCTTTTCTTCTTAGAAATAAAATTCTCACTCCTGTTATGGTTGTTTCTGGATGTTTCATTTTTCTATTATAGGTGATAGACCTAAGAAAAAAGTGTCTTAAATATCTGGATTCTATGGGACAAAAGGGCCACAGGATCTGTGAGCTTCTCCTGTAAGTAAGGGCTGGAAAGCTTTGCTGTTACATTGCTATGGCCTTGTTAGGCGCTCCTTCATCTGTCTGAACCCCAGAGGGTGTGCTGGGCAGTGGTCTGATGCACAGTCAAGGCTCTCTTCCCATCCTTCAGGACTTGACTGGAATCCATCTTTTATGTATAAATAACCTAGTATCTGATCTTAACTGAGAAGTCTGGTTTAGTAGCATCATTGAAAACAAGTTTGTCATTTGTTAATAATGAAAATATATCTGACTAGAATCCTGGGATTTGAATTAGAATTCTTTTAGATTCTGAACATTATTCTGAATGTTCTGAAGAACTGTTCGCTGGGGAGTAGTATTCCTCTAAATTCTTAAGCTCACTCATGTGTCTGTGCTTTCTGTTATAGTTGGGTTCATCTCATAGAACCCAGAGGTAATTTTTAAATGAAATCATGGTTTATAGGCAACTATTTCAAACAGTAATTGCTGGAAACTTTCCCTTAAAGCATAGCCACTTACTGGCTATGTAAAGTGGTGGCATGAATTTCACAGTGAGGAAGCAAATCAGTGAGACAAGTCTATTTTGAACCTCTTCTGCTGGCCGGAAGCAAATGTAGGTTCCTGTTTTGAATTTTAGTAAGGATACTTGGATAATTTTATTAAGGATACTTTAGTAAGGAACTTGTTAAATGAATGATATGAAGGAAAGTTAATAATTCAATTCTCTCTTTTTCAATTATTGATTTACTGTAAAAGATCTTTTTATTTATGGATGTTTATCTCGAGTAAAAAGTATAGAGGGGAAATGTTTTTAAATCATAAGATACACCAAATTGTTATAAAGCAGTTATTTCCCTCTAGTCTTTTCTGTTTAAGAGGTGTATAAAATGTGCACACATACATCCATGTGCACATACACATACATATGTATTATCACATTCATATACATGTTCTCGTTGGAATCATACAGCAAAATTTTGTATGCTGCTTATAATAGGATACAAAAAACCCATACTTTTATTACATCCATACTTTTTTCCTTTTTTTAAGTATGAAAAGTTCAACTCCTGGCGGTATCTGAGGCCCACTTCCTTTCCTGATGCCCCTAGTCCAGCTTTTCTCACCTTTGTTTTCATTATCCTCCCAGCCCTGAAAAATTGAATTTCTCCATGCCAAGAGAAAATAAGACTAAGGAGTAAGACTTTTTACTTGTTGGGAATTTTGACGATTTTGCCTTCCAAGAGCCAGATTTCACCCGCTTGGGGGAGATATTGCTGCCCCATTGAGCACGCATGCCCTCGAGTAACCCTTGTTTACCTCATATGCAGGTTAGGGTAAGAACTGAGATGCCTGGGTTAAATTTGATGAACCTCTGGAGATTTGGATAAAATTAATCACTCTTGATATTTACGTATGTATCTCCTAAGAATAAGGAAGTTCTCTTACATAACCACAATGCTGTTATCACACTTAACGGAAATTAGCAATCAGTAATGTGGAATCGATGGTTCATACTCTGATTTCTTCAGTTATCTTTTAGAGCTTTTCCCTTAATCCAGGAAGCCACTCGGGGCTCATGCATGTACTTAATGTCTGTCTAGTCTCTTTAATTTAGAACAATCTTCCTGCCTTTTTCTTTGTTTTTCATAGCAATAGCTTTTTTTAGTCCAGGCCAGTTATCTTATTTTATATCTATTTTTAAGTGAGAAAAAGCAAGTTGCAAAATGACGTACTTTTTTTTAAAAGAATAAAATGTATGTTTTTAAATTGTGTATATAGGAGTGGAGTAGAGAACTAGAAGAATACACAGCAAATTATTAATAGTAATTACTTCTAGAGTGGTTATTATGGGTTCTTTTGCATTTTACATCTTATATGTTTTAATTTTTTAAAATAAGCATGTACAATTTTTGTAAGCAGAAAAAAAACCCAAAACTAAATGTAAAAAACAAAAGCAATCACATTTTTAAAAAGCTTATGGAGATGGATTTGAGAATGGCATATCTGTTAAACATCACAAAGTCCTTTGTAATGATAATGGTAAGTCCCCACCGGAATTCATCAATATATTCCTTCTTTGTTGTTTTTTCAGTCAGTATTTACAGGATGAAAGTAAGACCAAAAGAAATATTGATCTGAATCTTTTAGAGTGGACCCACTACAGCATGAAGCCACATGTAAGTGACGATCATCTATATTTCACATACTTTGTTGCATTTACTGACAGTGACATATTGTTTAGATTTGGCTTCCTTCCTCTCCTCACTCACTCACCCTTAGGCATGCATTCTCCGGAAGTGCACATCCAAAGAATGATCTACTTCTAAGTCTTTCGAAGTTCATTTAACCAAGATGTTTGCTTCTTAGCCTTTATCTTCTTGCTTAAATTGTCAATGTTAACTATATGTTAGCATGTCTCAAAAAATTGAAAGCAAAAACAGTAAATTCAAGTCAGCTACTTTTCTTGGTTGGCATTAACGAAAGTTTAAAGTTCTTGTTCAAAACTTTTCTAGGAATTTTGTGCTTTTAGATCTTAAGGGTCCTCTGCCATGGGTCCTCAGGAGGCAAGTATGCTCTTTGTGAATGTGTTTGGATCTTGCCAGATTTGAATTTCTTTCCGGGTGCAGATTTGAATTTCATTCAGGATTTAAAAATGCATAAATCTTTGAGTCCTCATGGTTTCTTTTTAAAGTAAGCTACATGAATTCAATTTTAGCCCTAACCTGTGTATAATGGCTCAACTATCTTTGTCCAAAAGCATTTTCATTTCTAAGTTGAGTAATTAGAATGGTAAGCTTTGAAATTGCCTGAGGAGAGCACAGGTATAGGAAGAGTCTGTTAGGATGAATCCTTTGTTCTGGTATGGGAAGTATAGTACAGAAAGCAAATTCTTGGGGGCCAGCCTTGAGGCCTAGTGGTTAAGTTCAGTGCATTCCACTTTGGTGACCTGGGCTCAGTTCCCAGGTGCAGACCTGCATCACTCATCGACGGCCATGCTGTGACAGCGACCCACATACGAAATATTGGAGGATTGGCACAAATGTTAGCCCAGGGTGAGCCTTCCTCAGAAAAAAAAAAGAAAATGAATTCTCTTCATTTGTTTATTGGAGTCTACAGTTCTCTCCACTCTGTGGCGTGGGCTTGGGAGAAAATATATACTGGGCTCAAGAGAAAAGCACAAGGTACCCACCATATGTATGGGTGGTGTGCATGTTCAAACAGTTTTTTCTTTTTACAATAATTATCTGTATTTCTTTGAATAAAAACTGAGCTGTTGTCATCTAGGATATTTTCTAGCAGTGGAATCAGCCTCTCTTATACTCTTATTATCTTGTGCTGTTATAACTGACAGCCGTAGTGTGTAAGGGGCTGGCCAAGATTAGTGTACCTTGGGCCTAGGGACGTGTGAGCTTACCTCCTGTGGGTTTGGAATCCACAACCTTTGTTTTGTGATGCCCTCAGTGCTGCTTGCAGTAAGTTCTGTTTTTGCTTCAGGACAGAACTGAGGAACAAGGCAAGATTTCCTGATTGTTTAAGCCTATCAAGAAAGTTTTTTCTTTCTCCTGCTCACAGCTGTGTGGGTCCAAAGCAGTAGTCCTATTTTTCTGGCGAGGGAGGAGAAGTTAAACTCTGCACTACTGAAGTAGGCTAGTTGTATTAGAAACATATATTTTTTTTTCATCATAGAGAATATTTTATGGAAAGATGATTTTTATGTATTCTGTTTATATAACAAAGCCTAATAGAAATTGTTCGTGTGCCTATATTGTGGCTGCACAGACTCATTCAGAACAACAAAACCCTTTGCTTTTGGCTGGACCAACACCAGCCTCAACTTTTTTTTTTTCCAGTGAATTTTTATTTTTTATTTTATTTTTTTTTATTAAGATTATGATAGTTTACAACCTTGTGAAATTTCACTTGTACATTATTGTTAGTCATGTTATGGGTACACCACTTCGCCCTTTGTGCCCTCCCCCCAACCCCCCATTTCCCCTGGTAACCACCGATCAGTTCTCCTTGTCTATATGTTAACTTCCACCTATGAGTGGAGTCATACAGAGTTCGTCTTTCTCTGTCTGGCTTATTTCGCTTAACATAATACCCTCAAGGTCCATCCATGTTGTTGCGAATGGGACGATTTTGTCCTTTTTTATGGCTGAGTAGTATTCCATTGTATATATATACCATATCTTCTTTATCCAATCATCAGTTGCTGGGCACTTAGGTTGGTTCCACGTCTTGGCTATTGTAAATAATGCTGCGATGAACATAGGGGTGCATGGGACTCTTGGAATTGCTGATTTCAGGTTCTTAGGATAGATACCCAGTAGTGGGATGGCTGGGTCATAAGGTATTTCTATTTTTGACTTTTTGAGAAATCTCCATACTGTTTTCCATAGTGGCTGCACCCGTTTGCATTCCTACCAACAGTGTATGAGGGTTCCTTTTTCTCCACAACCTCTCCAACATTTGTCACTCTTGGTTTTGGATATTTTTGCCATTCTAACGGGTGTAAGGTGATATCTTAGTGTAGTTTTGATTTGCATTTCCCTGATGATTAGTGATGATGAGCATCTTTTCATGTGTCTATTGGCCATCCTTATATCTTCTTTGGAGAAATGTCTGTTCATGTCCCCTGCCCATTTTTTGATCGGGTTGTTTGATTTTTTGTTGTTGAGTGGAAACATATTTTTGATGGAGCCACATTTGGCTGTTTTCAAAATTTATAAATGCTTCTTAAATAATTCTGACTAGAATTCCTCTTTTGGTAATAAACCTTCTTTCAGTGTGGTTTCTTTCTATGAGAGCTGAGAGACAGAACTCTCACTTTGCTTCTCTCTTTCCTTCTGAAAAACATTTTCTATGAGGTCTTGTACTCCACGTCTTGGTTAGAGTGTTTATATTGCATAAAGACTAACTGTGTGTATGTCTGTGTGTTTGATGTACCACTTACCTTTATAATACTGTTTCTCAATAGTAATATCTAGAAAAAGTCAAAGGAGTTTGTATTTGATGAAATTTTACCCCTTCCTCCCTTCTTTTTTTGTAATTTTAGGAGATTCCTCAACAGTTGAATGGGAGTGATTGTGGGATGTTTACTTGTAAATATGCAGATTATATCTCTAGGGACAAACCTATCACATTTACTCAGGTGAGTGAAGACCCCTCCTCATCCACTTACTTCAACAAGGTGAAGTTAAAGCATGTTGCCAGTGCCTGGCACTCATTAAGCTCTTAATAATGGTAGCCGTGCCACTATTATTATTGCTGTAAACCTTGGCCGTAGCCCTATTCTTGCTAGCATTAGGGTTTGTCACTGCATCCGCCCTCAAGTTTATCCTCCTCTTTGGTGGCCAGTGGGACACTTTGCCTATCTCCGAACTCCAGTGTTCACTGGTTCCTGAGTACTACTGATATTTTAGCCAAAGAGGGAGGCATGTCAGAATATGTGAGAGCAAAGGGACATCAGGCCTTGTGAGAGCTTAAGCCATAGGTCTAAGATGTAACTCTGAATACTGCCTTTCCCTTCTGTTCTGGTTATTTTTGGTTCTCCATAGCTCTGCAATTGAGTGGAAATTCAAATTCAAATTCAAAGTTGGGAACTCCTGAGAATTTTATGTTTGTTATAGTGGATTCTCAACCTTTTTACAACCAAGGAGAACCCCCTTTAAAAAATATTTTTCTTGAACAGACCTCATTTTGATAGATCTACCAAACTACACTTAATGGATAGTGGGACTGATAACCGCGTTCCAAGCTTTTGAGCAACGTGAAGTAACTAGGGCTCCCATGCTGGATTCATGCAGTCCCAGTCTAAAATGAAAAGGCCCTTCTTGGTTAGTTTCAGCAGTCTTACTAAGAATAAATGTGGAATTTTTTACTACATGTTTTGAGCTATTTAAAATAATGTATGAATCCAAGGGTAAGGATTTTTTAGGCCCTTCCAGGTAGGAAATCACTCGTTTATAGTAAAGTGGTATATTCAGCTATTTATAAGGAGATGCCAGGAGTACCTCAAGGCTGTAAACTTCTGATTTCATCAGAAAGACGACTGGCTGAGTTACAGGGGATTTTGGATTTGTCTTTTGTATGTTGCTGCTTTGAAATTTGGCCCATGTAGTGATTATCAGTTAAAGCAGAATAATATATTAAGCAAAGCATCTCATTCTTTGATGGTTCTAAATAACAAAGAGTTATTTGTTTGCCAAACCTAGTGACATAATTGAAAGAGAGAAGTTGCTATTTGAACAGAATGGAATCTACAACCTTTGGTAGAGCAGAAGGAAATTTGTGGATTTGGTTTTTTTCTTTATTTAAATAGAGTTCATGTTTTTCTCATAAAAAACAGAATGTTCATTTTAGAATGTTTTGAAAATATATATAAGTAGAAAAGTTGCCTATTGTGCCACCACTAGATATTTCCATTTTGGACACGTTTTTGTTAAGAAATTGTTGTTGGACTCTATTGTATAAATCTGCATCCTTCTTTGATTTTCCTTAACATGTAAAAATGCTTATGATACGTATAATAATAAACATTATAAACCTCCTTTTTGGTGGCTTTATAAGGCTGTACCATGATGTAAAAAAGTCAAGCGTACGTAAAGGACGTGGACATCCTGCTTTATTTACCTTTTTACACCTAAAGGGTGTTGACGCTGTGCACATTACTGTGTAACGTATGTGTTGTTTGTGGATTCCTTCACAGCACCAGATGCCTCTCTTCCGGAAGAAGATGGTGTGGGAAATCCTTCATCAGCAGTTACTGTGAGAATGCCCTGCCCGGTCCCTCTAGCTGCTGGTGGTTCTTTCACAGACGGACGTTTCCATATACCTCATGCATTGTGGGTTAAGAAGTCCCTGCATCACTCTGTTCTCGCACAGGTACTGAGCTGTCAGAGTGCACCAGGCCTCTCGCAGCACCCTAGTCCTGACTTGGCGTGTGGAGGGCTGCTTGCAACCCTGCTCGGAAGGCTGTGCCTGCTCAGAGCCCTGGACTCTTCAACCCCCACAAGAACAAACGCTAATACATACTTTTTTTTTAAGATTTTTTTTTCCCTATGAATGTGGGAAATGCAAGATTTATTCTATGATTTCTTTTGTGTGTGTGTTTGTTCACAAGTATTCATTCACTCACTCATTTGCAAACATAATGGGCAGTGGTTTTCTGCTGTTCTTTTACAGTTAACTCTAAATTACTCGTTTGAACTATTTATTTCTGAAAGGAATGTTAATCAAGCTGCCACTCCCTGCTGAAGATCAGGAGGGGAATCAGTGGGGGGAGGAAGGAAGTGTTAATTAACTTCTCTAACGCTGGAGCAGTAACTGCCAACTTGAAGCTGGAGGTCTTTCTTTTGAGGCTTGAAAATGCCGGGAGAAGCGCTGTGGTGTAGGGCTCTGCCTGCCTTTCAGAGGAAGCCTGACACTACAGCATTGGCACTGTGTTGTGGAAAAGTGGAACTGTGGCCAAGAACTCTGGCCATCCAAGCGTCTTCAGAAGAGTGTCGTGGTCATCCTAAAGAGACTTCCTTTTCTGGAAATGAGGTGACTTGGCTACTCTTGAAACTGGATTTGAAGTAACTGTAAACCCTCAATCTGCATTTTCATCCCAGATCTGGTTGAGTATAAACCTCAGAATTGTAAGGGCTGGCCTGAGCTGTTTATGTCAGAAGATACTATTCAATTTAAAGCTATTTTTCCTCAGAGTTTTTTTTCTATATATAAAGCTGAAATTAAGTTTTGTATTCATTAGGATTTACATCCTCCCATTCCACCCCCGCTGAAATTTGTGGAAGAAAATTTAGGACTTGGCTCTGAGGTTGCCAGTTATACAATAATCTATTTTGCATATGAAAGTTTGTATTTAACTTTTTTGTTCATTAAAAACCTTACAGTGGTTACACATTTTTAATTTCAGAAAGTTTAGAGTTGGTCAGAACATATTTTGCAAGATCTAGTGCCTAGTGTTGCTTTTCCGATGTAATAAAAGGTTGTCTGGCAGAACCTGAAAAGTATATGCTGAAATGATTTCTAACCCTCTCCCAATTTAACCTCCCAAACTTGTTCTGGCGCACAACAGCAAGAGGTTAAACCAGAAAAATTGGGCCTGTGTTAGCTATGAATCAACATGTCTGCCATGTTGCGGGCCCAGGCTGCTGGTCGCCTGGGCATCCTGTTGCAGCTGCTCTTCCTGAGACGTCTAAAGGTCTTGGTGTAGGACCTGGGGCTTGTAACGTGGATTGGAGTGGCTGTGCTTACTTGAAGGCCAAACCAGAGGACGTGTGCTTAGGTGATGCCTAAAGAGTGAGTGGGTTGTGCTGAGTGCCCCTCAAGCTTAGGCTGCACAGAGAACCCTTCCTGCAGCCTCTTTTCCTTTCCCAAGGCTGCTGGAACTGCGCCAGTGAGTACTGGCATCAGGCAGCTGGTACAGCCAAAAAAGGCCAGAGGTTTACTGGGTCAACATTACACCAAAAACCTGGTTCCCACTCGGCACTAGTAGGTTTCAACTGAGAATTTAGTGCCTTGGTTAAGATTTGTTCCAGGTCGGGGAAATCCTGTTAGGAATGGCAGTTTGTATTCTGCCCCAATGAGCGATGCCGGAGGTTAATGTGTTTGTATTACAAGAATTTGAGGGTATTCTTAGAGCAGCTTTCACCGAGCTTTCCATTAATGTGTACTCTTAGGATAGCTCTTAATAATTCCCCAGGACATGATGGAATTGATAGGAGCAGAGAGTTAAGCTAGAGAATGGCATGTTAGTTAACCCTGAGTTCCTGAATTTAATATGAGATACCACAGGCCATGTTTTTAGGCACTGACATGTCTCTCTTGGTGCAGAGAAACTTGCTGGTAATAGAATTTTTATATTTAAACAGTTTATGGGAAAAGCAGTCAGGTGATAAAAACAGCTATTGATTTTATCAGTAGCAAATTATCAGCATTAAAGCCCGCTGAGATCGATAGATACGTATTTTTTTTATTGCAATAGTTTGGGGGTCTGGAAAAAGGTTGAGTGACCATTGTTCTTTTTTAGTAGGCAGTCTCTCCTAAAGATTGATAAAGAAAAGAACAAAAACAATTGTAGGTAAGCAAGCGTCTTTCTCATGTTTGACCTTGTACTAGAGCCAGGATATGGGTGGGAGGGAAACAGACTTGGGGCATATGGAAGATGCTCTGGAGAGCCCCGCATGCTACCTCAGTTTCCTAAGGCTGTTAGAACTTCTGATCTTCTCCTCCTCTGAAATCCTAAGCACAACTTGGGGAACGCTGGGTCGAATGTTGGATGTTTGCCTGCGCCGTGAGGAGTTGCTTGGTGCTGGGACCAAGGTGTGGGTGTGGGAGATGTGTCCTCACAGGCATATTAAACCTCAGAGACAAATAAACAAGGTAGATAAATTTAAGTTTGTAATAACCTTAGTACTATAGTTAAGCTACATTGTTTAAATTGGCTTTTTGAACTAATTGGGAACCTAATCTTTTTATGATAGTTTGCGAAAAACTCTAAGCACCCCATATTCAAACAAACTTTTGGTATTTGTTTGTGAGTTGGGGGTCTAGCTGGCTGTATTGCTTTGATAATTGTTTTCTTTTAATTTACCTAATATATACGGGGGTGGGGTTTGGGTGTTCGAAATAGGTGTTGATTTTATCTATTTACCAATAAATTCATCTCTTTAATTCAGTGGCTTTCAAATTTTTTTGATTCCAACTCATAAATGTATTTTATATTTGTGACCAGTACACATATACATATATATTATGTGATCATATATGGATGCAAAAGTTTTATAAAAATATTACTTATCCTTACTTCTCTCTGATAGTTTTATTTCAGATTTTAACAAATGTGCATTGTGACCACCAGGTTGATTTCTCAACCCACTAATGGATAGAAATCCACAATTTGAAAAACACTGCTCTAAATGCACTGACAGCAAGGTGCAAGTTATGTTTAAAACTATAAAGCTTGAGACCACAAAAATATGATAAATGTGGGGCTGTTTTGAGGTGAATCTGTCTAAATCTAGGACAACAGGCCAGAAGCTTTCAGACCCTCTGTGGAAATATGTGGTGTAAACCATGCTTGTTCTTCAGGTTTTTATATTGGCGTTTCCTAAAACATGTAAGTAGAAGTCCTGTTACTTCTATGTAGGATGTAAAACCAAGGGTTCTATGGCTCAATGAGTGTCGCACCACGTCTTTTCCCCCTGGGGATGCATAGCAAATCTTCTAACAAATTAATGTCTTAACCTAGCATCTCTGGAGACTTGGGCGTCGAGCTCTTCTCTGTGCGACGCCGGTGGAACTGTTTTACAGAATACACTTTGGAAGGTGCCAGGAGCAGCAACAGAGAGCTTTTGGAAGCATGTGCTTCAAACACACTGGGGAAGCAGCCCTCCCTCCCCGCCCTGCATACACACTGCCTCCTTAAGGGCATACGGTGATCATAAAATCTGTGCTCCCAGTTATATTTTTCTTTAATTGTATCAGTAATAGGTGTTCATAGTAGAAAAATAAAATACTGATAAAAGGTAAAGATTAAGAATTCTGCAAACGCACTACCCAGAGTTAATAACTCTTAACATTTTGGTATATATCCTGGCCTTTGGTATATACTCCTTCATGTATGTATGAATAATTATGTGTGCTGTGCATGCTTGCACATGTATTTTTTTGTTATTAAAAAAAAAGAACATACAAAGATATTTCCTAAATTTCAGAAAAGAAGCTGGAAATACAAAGTAAATTACTAAAAACTAATTGGCCATAATATGCCACTTAATTTTGCTTATTGATTTTAGCTTTTCTACTTTTTTAAATGGAGAACTAAGCCCAGGACTCTGTTTCACCTACATCTTCAATCCTCTGAGTATGTTATGAGTTGACTTGTGTGTCCAAAAAAGGATATGTTGAAGTCCTTAACCACCCACCCCCGCCCCCCGTATCTCAGAATGTGATCTTATTTGCAAATAGGGTGATTGCAGATATAATTAGTTACGATGAAGTCATGATGTGGTGGGGTGGGACCAAAGACCAACATGACTGATATCTTTATAAGACGAGACCCATACAGACACAGGGGAGAAGGCCATGTGACAACAGAGGCAGATATGGAAGTGGTGCAGCTGCAAGCCTAGGAATGCCAAGGATGGCCCGCAAAACACCAGAAGCTGGAAGAGGCAAGGAAGGATCCTCCCCTCCAGGCTTCAGAGGGAGCACAGCCCTGCCAACACCTTGAGTTTGGGCTGCTAGCCTCCAGAACTGTCAGACAATAAATATCGGCTGTTTTAAGCCAAAAAAAAAAATATATATATGGAATCATACTGTATATATGGCTATGTAACCCCTTTTCCACTTAATTTATCTTGAATATATTTTCATGTCAATAAATATTGACATCATTTTAATTGCCACATAGTGTTCCAGTGTATGGCTGTGACATAATTTATTTAATCCAGTATTGCTGGATATACCGTCTTGCACAATGTTTGGGTTATTTTCTTAGGAGAAATTCTTAGAATTAAAATTTCTGAGTTAAAGTTATATATATTAAAAAAACATAACCCACTGATATTTTGACTTTTATTTCTTCTGGCGCAAGATGATGATTTGTATCTCCACTGATTTAAGTTTTATATTTTTCATGTGTAGGTCTTCTGGATAAGTTCATTCTGAGAGATTTAATGTCTCACTTTAGTGGACAGTTTTCTTTTTTTTAAACTAATTTACCAAAAGCTTTTTATCATGGAAATTTTAAGAAATACACAATCGTCACTCCCATCCAGCAGTTATTAAAATGTGGCTTCTCTTTTCTTTTTTGAGGAAGATTAGCTCTGAGCTAACTGCTGCCAGTCCTCCTCTTCTCACTGAGGAAGCCTGGCCCTGAGCTAACCATGCCCATCTTCCTCTACTTTATATGTGGGACGCCTGCCACAGCATGGCGTGCCAAGTGGTGCCATGTCCGCACCCGGGATTCCGCTGAAGCGGAATGTGCGCACTTAACCGCTGCGCCACCAGGCCAGCCCCCAAATGTGGCTAATGTTGATTCACTTTTTCTTTCACAGGGGAGAGGAGAGGAGGGTCTGGAGTATTTTAAAACAAAACACTGACATATCATTCTACCTAAATAAGAATGTCTCCCTAAATAATAACTTAAAAAAAAAGTGTCATTTTCACACCTAACAAAATAGAATTTGCTAATATCATCTATACTTGGTTCATATTGAAATTTTCCTGGTCATTTAAAAAATGTTTAATTATAGTCTTCTAATTAGGATATATAATGGGTTGATATGTCCATATCCTACTCCTGGGAACCTGTGACTATTACCTTCCATGGGAAAGAAGGAATTCTATCTTCTATGGAAAAAGATGTAATTAAGTTAAAGATCTGGAGAAGAGGACTCTATCCTGGATTACCTGGGTGGGCTCTAAGTGCCATCACGTGCCTTATAAGAGATAGGCCGAGGGAGTTTTGAGACAGAAGAGGAGGTGTTAAAATGGGGCTAGGAAGTGTTTACTATTTTTGTGGAAAAAAATCTGATTATATATATCTCAAACAAAATCTGGAAAAAGACACCCACGTATTACTATTGGTCATCTGGACAGGCTCTGTTGCTTTCTACTTTATAAACTCGTGTTTGGAGTTTTTTTAAAAAAAGAAGAGACGGTGACAATGCGACTACGGAAGCAGAGCCTGGAGTGATGCGACCACAAACCACGGAAGCCTGAGCTTCAGAAGCATGGCCCTGCTGACACCTTGATCTGGGACTTCCGGCTCCAGACCTGTGAGGAATAAATTTCTGTTATTTTAACCCCTCAGATTTGTGGTAGTTGGTTACAGCAGTCTCAGGAAACTCATACAGGATCCAGATAAAATGGACACTTTGCCTTTGGTTATTACAGCTCTTGAACCTCCCATTCAACAGTAGTCTCCCTCCTTATACTATTTTTTAATTAGAGAAACTGGGTTTTCCTGTGGAATATCCCACATTCTAGATTTGGCTTATGGCTCCTTGGTGGTATTTAACCAGTTCCTCTATCCCTCGTATTTCATGTAAACTGGGAAGTTGATCCAGAGGCTTGATCAGATTCTGGCTGAATTTATCAGGCAAGGATGCTTCATTAGTGGTCCTATTGTATGGCATCATGTGGCACATAGTGTCTGGTTCTCCCACTTCATGGTGCTAAGATTGACCAGTGGTTGACCAGGCCAGAAGGGTTCCTATCCATCTTTCTCCTCTTGGTTTTAAACTTAATTGATGACCCATTATTTTATTGAGGTACAAAGTGGTGATTTTCTGATTCTGTCATTCCTTCTGTGTTCATTACCTTGAATTCTTCTATAAAAGAAAAACTTATCAACTATTTGGCTCCCCTGAAATGCACTTCATACAGGCAAGAGTATATGATGTTTTGATTCATTGTAATTATTCTTTTTGATGTTCAAATTGCCCCATTTTAGGTTCCAGTGCCTTTTGACAGAACCCCACAAGTCTGATTTGATAGCTTCCTTGCTTAACCAGTATGATAAAGGCTCATCTTACACATTTCCTGCCCCAGACCTGGAATTGGCCATTTATTAAAGGATTTCTTTTAGTAAGAATTTTAGAGACCAGAATTTGAGCACTGGTAATGCCGATTATGGCTGAGTGACTGGTGCTTCTTAGGCCTTTACAACAGACAGATTAGGAAATACTTTTTCTTCAAAGGAAAAAATGTTTTACTGATTTCCAATTCAAATGTAAGATTCTCAGGTTTTTCTTGATTTTATACTGTAATCTTGAAAATCTTGGTTGCTAATATCAGCATAAGTACTTGTTTTTCCCTACAGTATACTTACAATAATTTTTTTCTTTTCGTTTTTTTTCCTGAGGAAGATTAGCCCTGAGCTAACATCTGTGCCAGTCTTTCTCCACTCTGTATGTGGGTTGCCACCACAGCATGGCTGATGAATGGTGTAGGTCTGTGCCCAGGATCTGAACCTGTGAACTCAGGCCACCAAAGTGCAGTGTGCTGAACTTAACCACTGCACCATGGGGCCGGCCCCAACTTATAATAATTTTAAAATATCAATAACAGTATAACAACTAACAAGTCCACTAAATACAGTTTAAGTTTTTGCAATTCTTTTTATTCTTAGATTAAATCCCACTAGAGGTTCACAGTGAAAATACACTTTTAAAATCACTCAAGTAATTTTTTCTCTGAGTGATTATTTCATCAATTTGATACACGGTTGTACTCATTTGTTCTTGGTGTTTAGGGATTTACTTTTTGCTTTTTTTTTTTTTGGTGAGGAAGATTGGAGTCGAGCTAACATCTGTTGCTAATTTTTCTCTTTTTGCTTGAGGAAGATTGTCCCTGAGCTAACATTCGTGCCAATATTCCTCTATTTTGTATGTGGGATGCTGCCACAGCATGACTTGATGAACAGTGTGTAGGTCCACGCCCAGGATCAAATCTGCAAACACTGGGCCACCAAAGTGGAGCATGTGAACTTCACCACTAAGTCACTGGGCCTGCCCCTTTTGTTTTTTTAATTATGTAAAACATAAACATTAGTCTAAGAGCAAAACTACAGAATGGGTATGTTCCCAGTTTTGCTTGCTTCATCCTATTCTCTTTTCCTGTGTAGATAATTTTTTCTAAGCTCCTAACCTTGTCTTTTTTGAAAATATA